CATTAGGTAAATCTGATATAAATAAATTACCCAATCTAAGACAGTATAGAAAAATTCATACTTTATCTTGATTTTCTTCTTTCGGTACTTCAGAGATGACCACACCTTGAAGCCGTCGTTTAAGCTACATCGCTAATGCAGTCATCATAAGCCGTACGACGCCGTACTTTCCCTATAGATCTCTATGAATATCTTTCTTACGATGCCCATATCTAGCGGTTTTCACTACGTTTGTCAGTCGACCAAAGCCGATTTTATTATAGAAGGATGACAGATTCTTTTTTTATCTTCCATAAAAGAAACTGCTATTGAAACGCTAAATTACGTTTATATTAGCAGAATTCAGCCCCTGGTTTGGGTCTACACACCGTGCTCAGTGTGTAGTGTAGAGGCTGAATTCTGCCCGGTATGATATAACGACACGGAAGAACTGTTCAATCACAATTAATAATAAATAGGTAAACAATAACATCTTACATCCGTTAATTATGTTTTTCGGACATTCTAAGGGTTTTTTGATTTTTGATTAATTTGATTAAAAAATAACAATAAATAGCAACCTTAATAAAAGTTACCATAAAATATTGCATGATTATTATGTAGAGTGATTAAGGCCAAAATAATTAATCAAATCAACAACAATAAATAAAACGTATACAGATATTAAAACGTAGTAGGAAAATAATTTTGAAATTGATAGCCAACTGTTTTTAAGAACTCTAAATATTTAAAAATAATATCATATATAACCACGACTACTAAATTAAAAGTATTATTAAGTTCCCGGATACCGCAACGATTTTATGACGTGCCTTGTCTACTTTCTAAGATTCATTATGGGCTAAATAGGAACCGAGAATTAATAAATAGATGTCGATGGTATTTTTTTGTATCGTATACACTCTACTTTCCAATTCGGTTTTCAATATAATCCAATACTTATTTTCTTTTCCATCTGTAAATTAAGATCACTATTCTAAAAAAAACTTTTTTTTTTAAAAGCAGAACCGACTTCAAACTTTGAAATGGTGATAAATAATACTTATCTACGGATACCCTCCAATCCGCATTGGGCCAGCGTGGAGGGTCATGGCCCATCCTCCTTAACCATCCATAAGGAAGGCCTGAGCCCCTGCAGTGGGGACGTAAAAGGGCTGATGATGATGATGAATACTTATCTCACAAGCGACTTATTTAAAAAATGCTATTAAAGTCAGGTCATCACTTTTTTGAATAAATTACCAATTCGATTTGTAATTTCATGATGAAGATTTAATTAAATATTGTATTGTTTATTAAATTGGCCAATTTTTGCATTTTATTCCTTCATAGAAATAATATTCGATTGATACAATAATGAATCATATCTTTAAAGGTGATTCATGATGATCAGAGGTCGGAATTAGGTAGAGTTATTTATGTACTTGCATCGAAAGACCTTCCCGGGATTTCTTTATTTCTTTCTTTCATTGATGTAAGTTTGGCAATGTCGTGCGTGCAGTAGTTTAAATTGTGTAAAAGTAAATAACTTTTTATTTAAAAAATCACGGGATTTTTTCTGCTCTTTAAAATTAATCTCGGGATTTGAGGCATATCCACTTTATTCTTTCGCTGTATGAAATCAGTATAAGTACATGAATAACTCTACCTAATTCTGACCACTGATGATGATAGAGCGAAGTGAATAATGAATGTTCCCATACTATCAACGATTTTTTTAAACTAACGACACACTATTTTGTATGGGTGTAGCGTGTTTATATTTTATTTCGTGATGTTTCGGACCATTTTATTGGTTCCCTGTTTACTTAAGAGACACAAGTGAGCTCGAGATTACCTCGAATCACTATGAACAAATCGTAGTCTAGAGCGCGGGTTCACCGAAAGACTGAAGATCTTAAAACCATTTTTGATTTTATATTAACGATAAAAAAATCGTATATGTTTACTATTATTTAATGAAATCGTCAAAGACGCTTTAATTTATTGATTTACAGTAAAATGCAACTAAAAATAAGCTAGACAAATTCTTACATAACCAAAATAAAACTCGTTTTTTAAATTAGTTTGAGTTACCTCATTTTATTTGAATGATTAAAAAATAATTTCTCAACCCTCTGTGAACACAAATCACAGTAATAATTAATATACATTTTTTGATTTAAATATTTTGTATAAAATATCACGTTTAATTACAAAGCGTCAAAGCTCACAAGTACACATAGCCTATTGGCTTAACATAGTATTCAATATGCTATAGTATTGTATTTTTCTTTACAAGTTTTAATTTTAATATGTTTTAATATCGTGTTGCCGACGACGTTTTAATGAAATCCTTTTTGTATAGTTTTGTATACTTTTTTATATTTTTAGTATTTTATTTTATTATATTATGTCAACATAGAAAAATATCATGAACCTACAGCGTTTGATGTGAAAAATCAGCCATTTGACGTCCCCACTGCAGGAGTGCAAGCCTTCCTTATGGATGCAAAAGGAGGATAGGTCATGACCCCCCACGCTGGCTAAATGCGGATTGGAGTGTATTATTGACTTCAAAAGCAGCCGAGACCAACGACTCAACGTGCATTTCGAGGCACGGAGTAGCTCGAGATAGTATTTTTTGGTCACCAATCCCGTAACTGACTCTTTCGAAAGTTGCTTAACAACAGCGATGGGGATTATCCACTACGCCACCGAAATAATCTAAAATAGGTGTCGAAAAAAACGAGCATTAATTGCAACAAATTATGTAACGTCCAAATTGTTTCATTAAAATTTAAATGGGAATTTTACCTGTTTTTTGGGAATAAGGATAAATCGGCGATTAATACAATATTATTGCGACTAATAATGAATAAGATAATAGGAACATACACGTACACGTAGGTACTTATAGTGTTATAAGAATTATGAATAGCACTTCAATTTCTACAGGAAATAATTTGGTACCAACTCACCAGATTCTTCTAATATTATTTTGTGAGGTTTATTTATTTACTAATCGTGCAGAAGAGCTGTTCGAGTTAATTTAGCCATTTGTTTTATGTTTATGATTATACTCGTAATAAAATTTAACTTCCGAACAACTTATAAAAAGTATCTAACTCTTTGGGGCTATGCATATCTGACGGAAGATGCGCCGCGGAACATCTGAATAATATTAGATTTTTTTTACATATCACTTTGTCAATCACGTATGATGTATTTGATCAATTTCGCACTCACAATGCTATACTTAAAAATATTCTTAATACAAGATGCTTAAAAAAGCAGTCGCCAGGATTGCGAAAGGTCGGGTTCGTTTCCCATCTCAGGGTGCCAGGGACCCTTTTAAATCGGTCCAGTCGTTTCGGAGCCTATTCTATCCAAACAATTAATCAAATCTTTCCCCTTAATGATTTATATATAAACGAACAGCACACATACATGTAAAATAACCTGTTAAAATAACCTGTTAAAATAATAATAATAAACTGCTGATCCAGAAATTAGAAATAGCTTTACACAGTTCTAAAAGCCAAGCATTAATTGTTGCGCGTCCACGAAAATTGGTATTGGCATTAGTCTTATTCGGCAAATCAAAAGATTAAAAGGAGATAAATTAAAATATGTATTAAATTCATCGTGTTATTAGATAGTTGTTTTCCCACGCGTCTTTCGTCATCTTTCGCGTAAATTATTGTCTACGTCACCATAAAAAATTAAAACAAACAAACAATCAAATCTTTTCCTTTACAATATTAGTATTTATAACATGCAGCTTTTCACATTCGACGGATGATCCGTTGTGTATAAAAGTATACTTCTTTAACAGTCTTAACCGGTTTTTCGTCAGATATGATCTAAGCCCTTTAGTATACAAAAAAGCTGTTAAGCTTTAAACCAATTAAAAAACCTATAAATAATAATCACTTATAGTAAATATAACCTTGAGGGTTTTTCTCGTCTAACATTTAACGTTACTACGAGTTGATTCATCATTCGATCATATTGGCAGAGATTAGTCCATAGACGTCACATTTCTAGTAATAGTGTATAATTGTTATTTAACATAGGAAAACTATTTGCATTACGTATATTTATAGCCCGAATTCAATTATAGTGTCATACCAGGGTAAGTATGCTTTAAATATGATTGGGGGACAGAAAAAATGATTTTATTTATAGAACATTTTTTATAGAATAATAAATTAATTGCACAAAATTTAATAAACAATTTACCAACCTAGGCATCCTAATTGGATAGCTTCAGTGGTAGAGTAGTCTTCCGTTCTGTAAAAGGGTATAGGTTCGAACTCCGTATCGGAAAAATGAGACGGATTAATATTTTAAGTAAGTATATTTCTATAAAAAAAATATTAAAAGCCAGTGGTAAATACATTATTCTCTTAGATGCGAATTCGGTTTTGTGTCCTGAACACACGTTTTGGATTAGTTAGGTGGGTCACAGTTCTCTAGCATAAGTTAATTTTTGCTGGAAACGAATGGACCAAAGACAGTCATTTCCGTTCCTTTTAACTAACATATTAAAAAACTGAAATTTGAAAAGTTCGATACAATACAAATACGAAAAATTATAAATAGAATATGAGTTGTTTATTGAGTTTTGAAAACTAATTTACTTTTAAACACGAAGGAAAACCGGAACCGTTCTTGTTTTCATAGAGAAAACAAGAACGTACCGTAACGACATCTAGTTTGATTTCGGGAACCAATTTTTTTTTTAAATACTTCCTCATTAACACACTCATTCACGAATTTATATATGTTTTTTTTAATTTTAAATTTATGAATGGGTACTCTCTCTCACTCTCTGTAGAGTGTCATCGTCATATGTGTGTCATCATATTCTACATATTTAATTCAATATTCCGTCTTTGCGAGTTTCATGTTGCATGTTATAAATTTAGCCTTCCTTATTATTATTATTATAAAGAACATCCCGTAATTTCTCTAAATTGTGGTTCACATACATGTGAAGTGAATAGTGTCTTCTACAAAGATATACGCGTAGCGACAACAAACTCAGATTCAGTCTGCGCGCGCGCACAGACTCGAAACACGTGCGCTAAAAACACGCGAGTACAGATCATAAGTTTTAACGAACAGTTTTGTTTTGACGTCGCGGCTTAGTTGAAAGGTAAATTAGTTTTATTTTTGAGTGACAGGAATTTTGTGAGGCAAAATAAAATAATTTATTAGGAAAACCGTTATGAGAATAAAAGTATTTTTGTTTGTTGTGATTTCTTTTAGTGATTTATTTTTGTTTTAAAACTGGTTGTGCCGATGAACTTCGTACCGATATTGAAAGGCGCGCTTTTTGTTTTGTAAAAAAGAAACTATTTTTCTCCGTACAAAAATATTAATCGGTTTAGAAATATATAAAATACAAAATTTATTGAGAATTATAGATTAAAAAATGCACAGTTGGTTCAGTCGTTCTCAAATTTGAGCATTTAAGGGTTTCAACCTCATTTAAAGTTAACAATGTCTGATATGTGAAAGATATAAATTATTATTATTATTATTACATAGAGTTGCCAGTACCTAGTACCGGTTTTTATCCTGGATTTTTAAGCAGCATTCTGGGTCCTTAAATAGTGTCCAAGTGTGCAGTAGTAAAATGAAGCGAAATAGCGCCGTAATATATCTGGTTAGAGTCACTACTAAAGAGTTAGGTTATTTTATTACACATACTATTTTTTAAAAGCAACCTGAAAAGTATTTAAAAATTGATGAAGCCGAATCAAGCTTTTTTTGTTAAAACTTGTATTATTGCGTCCTATTTTAAAGCTGAATATAGTGCTGACTTGCTGAATAGTGCTGACTTTCTTAACTTTGAAACATTTTATATTTTGAAATTCAAGGTTAGTAACCCTGGTCTAGCAATTAATTTAACGATTTATTTTATTTCATAGTTAGCTTTTATATTTTTCAAAGCAAAGCATTGAATGTAAGACTCATATAATAATGGCCACTTTATTTGAAAACTTGAGTTAAAAAATATCAAGACGGAATTTCGCGACTACACATTAGAATAAACATAACTGGATCTGTAGCAATCGAGCTTTTTAAAAATTAGACCCATGTTACAGCGACAGACTTGAATGCTTGAATTGAAAAAAAAAACATTTTTTGATAGAACAGCATTATCATCGATATATCACTTTCAAAAGTATGAGTCAAATACTTGAAAATTTTTAAATTTCTCTTCACAGCCACAATAGCAAGCGTCGAGTACCAATAAGAACCGACAAAATATTTAGTTAATAAATTACCCGTTTATCGTTCTTATTATTAAAAGAGTCTTTATCAGCTCTTGACTACAAAATAACAGATAGTCAGATTCTTTAATTCGTTTTGTTGTTTAGTTAAAATTATCGTTATAAGAAAATAATTCAAGTAATCATTTGCTATTCAGTTTCCAACAAGTATTAAAATTAAAATACAAAATTCGTAATATTTATAGCAACAAAACTTAACACATTAGGATTTCAAAGGTTCAATAGGTAGACAATAATAATAAAATGGGTTTCTGAAGTGATTATGCAAAATGATAATAACATATTGCATACTCTGTGAAATTTAAATTTGAAGTTGTTTATATTATGTAAGAATTCTAGATACTCTCCGAATTAATAACAAAATCTTAGGTGAGTAATTTATTAATTTTTAAACTTATCTCAGTCTTGAATAGGTAAATTTTTTATTTCGAGTAATATAATTATCTGTAATGGAAGGTTACATTTATACTAATTCAATGTTTTTAATTCATCCTTGATTGAAATATATAAGTGTCTCAAATCTATGATTAAAATGTTAAAATTATATTTTTTGCACTTAAAAATTAATAGCCTACAAGCAGTGGCGTAGCTAGGTAACCTAGGACCCTGGGGCAAATAAAAAAATGGAGCCCACTGCTCGAAAAAAACTTGACTCAAAGTTCACAATCGCGAATCACAAAAACGCATATCGATAAATTATAATATGCAGATATTGATATCCGACAAATTGATGAAAACATTAATAACACTGTCAACCCACACAAATAATTTAGGGGAATTTTTATAACTTTGGAATTTCTTACAACTGAGTTGCCATGATTAAACTCGAGTTGTCACCTGTCATATTTATTTTGAAAATGGAAGAAATTTTCAAAAGTTGAGTTCGATTGAGATTTTCTGATAAAGATTCTAGGGCCCCCTGAGCTTGAGGACCCCGGGGCACTGCCCCGCCTAGCCCCTTGGTAGCTACGCCACTGCCTACAAGTGATCATTCAATTGTCGAAAGACCATACCTAAAGTTTAATCATCCTTTGTTGTTCAATAAAGAAAGTGTCAATATGGTATGGGTGTAATTATTACATTAATGCCATAGTATTATTAAAAAAATATTAGCGTTACACAATTCTTCTTCATATAAACTTTCGTTATCACAAATTTGGTATTTCTCCGTCCGCGAAAATCTCACCAAAAAAGGTTTGATTTTTTTTTTGGTATAACTTTAGTATATTTTCTTTTTAGAATGGTGTTAATTACTACAAAGAATTTCTAAACTAGAACAATAAAAACCTTAAGCCTTTTAATATTAATTTTATTCTGGTTTTTAGTATTTGTTGTTGAAGCGCATCAGAAATACATCATCTGTGAAAATTTTAAATGCTTGCCTTTCACGGTTCATGAAATGAAATACAGCCTTGTGACAGACAGACAGCGAAGTCCATTAATAGGGTCTCCGTTTCACCCTTTGGGTGCGTAACACAAAAAATAAATTATTGTCATTTCGATATATTTCAACTATGTTTTGTTTTACACGTAAAAATGTTTAATTTTTTTCTTTAGACATCTAAAGAAAAAATTGGCTACCTAATCCGATAAATTTACATAATATGTAAACTTTGTCACTACTGTAGAATAAAATTAACGATACTTTAAAATACATAAACTGTTTAAACTTCAAGTTATGTAAATAAGGACGCATTTAATATGTAAATTTTATTATTGCAATTAATAACTACAGGTAATTTTGAGGTCGTTGATTCAACGAAATAGATTTTGTTCATAATTTCATAGATATAATATAAAATCGTTGTGTAAATAAACACAAGTGGTAGTCGGGTCGGAAAATTATTTCACCTATACGGCACGTTAGCGCTATATACCTAGCGGAAAACAGCTAGATTACAGATAAAGCGTTGTGAATGCAAAGTAATCAATATTTATACAATAAATATTTATATGTTTTGTATAATCCGCTTCAAGATTGTGTTATGTTTATCGATTCACATTCATTCGCGAATCTGATATGCTGCCAAGTCTGGTGGGTCATCGACGCGTTCTCCTCACCAGATCATCACTACTTTCGTCCAGTTTCAAAGTATTATGATATTATATCATTAGTAGTTAACGTTATGAATGTGGCACCTGTGTTAAACATAGAAGATTATTACATATGTAACCGAAAAATTGCGTCTCGCGATAAAATAGGTGGCTAAATATTTGGCTGGTTGCCAATCACTTATTTTTTTAATTAGCAAAAAACTTGTGTTTAGAAATTGGAGATGGTCAATAGGTAATAACATTTTAATAATCATATTCTTTTATTTATTATCACTACCATCGGCCATCCCTCTGGTTGGAGTCGAATCGGATATGGACAATGAATAACCCTCTGAGTCAATTCCGAAAGTCGCTTAACTTTCGCATAGCAAACCGATATAGAGCTTATCGATTTATTGCATAGAGAGAAACCTCGCAGTCGGTATAACGACTTCCATAGTCGTAATAAAAATTTGGCATAGAAATCGTTGATTCCGCACACAATAGATGAATGTAAGTGAACTTTAAAAGGTGCCACAACACTGAGACATCAGAAAATAAAAAGTATATTTTCCTATATTCACCTCACCGGGAATTGAATCCTGGACCTCAATGAAGGCGACACCTTGAATTCGGCTTTCGAGTCACTCTGCTATGGAGAGCTCGTCTAGATGTTATAAACAACAATTAAATTCTTTATGTTCTTCAAAACTCGAGAAACAAGTTATAAAAAATTAGAGGCAATGATATAAACTTTTCTCTATTGCCTTTATGTAGCTTATTTCTACTACACCGTGCCATAGCATAACCATGATATGAAAACGGAGGTAGAATCTGAAACTGCATCTGATGCATAGATAATTTTTCATGAAAATGATTTTAAAAAATTATACAAACGTTTCCGGTATTTCGTTTTACAAGTGCCGATATATAGCCACAGTCCCGGAGACAACGTACAGATCTATCTGGCGGCATATATGCGTATCTGTTTGGTCGTGTTACAGTAGATATAAATATGTTAATAAATACTGTGTATCTATATTTAATAGAGAAAATATTATATTTTAATATTATTTTATATGTGCTGGCTTGTATCTGGGACAGAAAAATAACTATAAGCCAGTCCCGTATACGTGATCGGTATATTATCGTTTGACATAAATGACTAAGTACTTACATTTGACATGATCAAACGACCTCTGTGGTTTTCGAGCTAGCTCCATGATGTAACCATCCTGTATTATATATTCAGATCACATTGAAACAATCTCTTGTTGTGCAGTCATCAAAATGATGGTTCAGTTATACAAGTGAATCAAAAAATGAGAGATTAAATTTAAAATACAGGCACAAAAATTAAGGTAGTTACATCAACTGTCTATTCACCTACACCTTCCAAAATATAGGGTATCTGCGGCTATCAAAGCCCGAGTTGTAACTTATTACAACTCGGGCTTTGATATAGGTAAATAGGTCTTAACCTATATTTGAAAAATCATGCTAATATACATACTTCTATTCTTGCTTCAAACTTTACTCATTGATAATACGGCGTATCTATCGGTGTATATATCTTGTAAGCAAAAAAAATAATCCACAATTTGAGTTTTTAATTTGTAAGAGGTGTTTTGAATCTAAAATTGTTTTTTCTTTTCAGAAAAATATTCAAAATGGAGCCGTTGCAAGTAGACGTCGTATACTTTTACCCCAAGGAGAATGCGCAGACACATAATACAGTCAAGTAAGTGAAATTTGAAGCCAAGTTCTATTGTAACTTAATTTTCCGTTTTATGATTCAAAGACTATTATTGTAAATTTAAAAAGAAAAGTAATGAACACACAGAAATAACTTTACACTTATGTGATGATGGCAAAACGATTACGACAGATGTTTTAGCATTTCTACAACTAATTGTAGAGTTTGTTAGCTACTTTTAATCGTTATTTTAAATCATGATTTAATTTCCTTTTATTTATTTTTAGATTCGAAGCAGTGAATGAAGAGAATCCGACCACCACCATCGTCAGACGCGGCCAACCATTCAACGGTGTGGTGCGATTCACCAGGGACTATGACGAGACAAATGACATGGTGCAGCTGCTCTTTACTCTTGGTGTGTATTGCCTTGATATAAACGTGAAGCGAGGGCATATTATCTACTCTTTATTAAACTAAAGTTTTTTTACAGGTGACCGACCCACAATGGACACTCAAGGGTCGATATTCTTAAGACGGGACGTTGTCCCTGATAAACACAGTTGGAGTGCCAAGCTGATAGATGTGCAAGGAAATACACTATCATTTGAGGTAAGATACTCGTATAATAAAAAAAAAGCGTCGCTGTTGAGACATGTTGACATAAGGCTTAGGCTTTAATTTTTTTTTTTGTATTGTATAACATTTTTTGCGACTCAGGTTCGGGTTAAAATGAACTTTACCATATTGCCTCTGGTCTGGACGTTGTGGTAAATATCTTCGTTGTTTCAGATTTTCAAATACAAATTCCAATAAGCTACTTCATTTTAGAGCTGATAAATATATGTATTGCTGCTTAATTTTGGTTAACTATTTACTAGTCATATGAAATAGTCTTAAAGAGTCATACCTATAGCGCTTGATTATTTTGTTTATCACTTTTGTCTCGTAAATCACTTGTTCTATTTTTCAGTTTTTACCTATATACCTAACTAGCTGTTCGCCCGCGTAAATTAAAGCTTACGTCACACATGTATGATGTATCTTCCCGTAGGTGTAATAATTATTAAAATCACTCTAACAGCTTTAGTGCCCGTTCAATGCAAACCAACAATCAAATCTGTCCTATTTATAATGATGATAATAAATGTGCCGTCTTCTTCAATTAGAAATAACTTATTATTCTAATTGAAGAAGACGGCACATATTGCCTACTAGACAAGTTATTTCTGTATGAATATACAGAAGCTAATTCAATAACAAAAACTTATTCAAGATTTTGTTATTGAAGTGGGGCGGAGGATTTAAAATAGTGAAAGTCTTAGAATAGGAGATTTTGTTTATTTGCTCAATATATATATATGTATATATTATAATAATCCATTAATAATATTTAATCTATATTCATATTTTAAAGAGCAAGGATTTGACTCCTTGTTTATTTGCATTGGATAAGCCTTGAAACTATTGGACCGATTTATAAAAGTCTTTCATCTACGTGAAGCTACATAATACGCGGCGGACATAGGCTCTAATTTACGCAGGCGAAATCGTGGGGAAACAACTAGTTTGATAGAAATTGGATCACGATTCAAGAAGAAGTCGATACCTACCCTTTCACAAAAAAATATACATCAAAGAGTAAATCTACTCGTTAAACAAAGAAAAATCTTTTTTTTAAAGATCTTCTTCTTGTGTTTTTTAGCTGAAATGGGTCATGCAGTGAAGTCCTTTTTTTTTTTTTTTTTTTTTTTGACGCTGAGAAATGCATTACTCATACCCGCTTCACCCTGCGCGGGCTCCACGGGTGATGTGGGACTCCTCCTGTGGCCCCACCCCCGTAGGGGCTAGACAAGAAGCAGGAGTTTACCCACTAAAACTCAGCGATGTCCCTCTCATGGTAGGCGATGCGCGGGATCGGCCCGAGGGCCATACACCGCGCGATGCAGTGATGTCCATGTCATAACATATTATCTTGATATTTAGGTGATATCTGTTGGAAAGCATATTTTGTTTTGTTATAAAAGGAAAACTACTTCTTCAATTTCGATAAACTTACATCGATCCATCAAGTTGTCAAATAAAAAACGAATTTTGAAAATCGCTCAATAATAGATGAAAATATCGGTAAACATACAAAAACAAACATACATTGCTGTTGCACATATAATCTCCTCCTTTTTCATTTTGAAGTCTGTTAAAAGCAACATCAACCATGCATAATCTTTGATATCACAATTATATTTCAGACTTTATCCGATTACGTCATTGTTTTAATCTATGAGCGGTATTATTTATTGTGTATATAATTAAGCAATAGCAATGCACACCTCGTAGTTTATTATTCTTAATGAAACCGTTTCGTATTGACAATGATTAATTAAAGTTTATGAATAATAATTAATCTAGCGTCTAAATAATATTTACTGTTTGTACAGAAGTTGCATACTTAATTATAAAGTGATTATTAAGCTCTAAACGAATTTAAGAACGTATTTAATCATAGCTAATTAATATTTTTTTAACGATTTTGTGGCTAGACTTCATATTGGCTGTATATAAATCGATGAATGAAATCTGCTCCAAATAGTACATTCCAGCAAAGATTTTTACCAAAACGTATGACGTGATCCGTTATCGACATTTTGTTCAGTGTATATTTTCAACTGTGCAATCAATCTCAGTAGGCCATGAATAAATGATGTCACAACTCTGTTAGCGTTGTAGGCATACTCATGGTGCTCATATGGTAAACCTGCTTTTTATAGATTTATTTCTATGAAGGTTTAATATGTTCGAAGAAAAAAATATCTTGAAATACAAAAATAAAAACTATATTCGAAAATCTCACTTAAGATCTTTCATTTGATATCACACGGTATAATCTGCAAAACTTTATTTTTATTTTTTTTAATTTACACATGAAAGTGGCGCTCAAAAAATACTTTATAAATAAATGTATATATTACATATCCGTCTGTAGACGACAGATTTGCCAGCCTCTTAAGAAAAATGTTTTCAAGTCGATGAACTTTTGTCACTTTTATTATATTTTGCCGTTTTGCTGCTGTGTTGTGATAATCAGTCCTTTTAATTTTAAAATCTATCTTTTTCTTACCAAATTTATCTTTACTTTAATTGTACAGCCCATGCTGTGCTACAACTGTTGATAACAATAATTTTGGGTCATTGAACTTCTATATCAAGTTTCAACTCAGTCAGACCCCGTGGTTTGGAAACACGTTAGTTGTCGTTATACAGAAGGACATAGGTTCCAATGATCAAATCATTATCCTTAATTCTTATTTTGATTTTATTATATTAACCATACTTTGAGTCATCTTTTCAAAGTACGAAATCCTAAAAATAATATTCGAAAACAAATTGTGGTAATTTAAATTAGTTTTTGCTTAATATATAATAATATCTTAGCGTCTTTCCATTTTGTTCGGATAGTTATCATAGTATAATTTAAAAATAATTATAAACCTTGCAATTTTCATCCTGGCATTAATTTAAAGATTTAATTTCCTGATATGAAACAAGTAAAAAATAAGCTACATTTTGAAATATATCGCATCACTGGACACATTAGTCAATTTTTAGGTCAAAATTGGACATGATTCTTGTCATTCCACTGGAATTCCCGCAAGTCTGTTGAATGTTGAATGTGTGAATACTCATTTTAATAACAGATTCACAGGAATTCCATTAGCTTAGCTCATAAACTGCAAATACTATCTAGAATCTATGCAAAATAAATACCTTGAGAGTTAGGTATCTCTCTGGTTTCATCGTTAGTTGACGTCATTAATGTAGTAAAGTGTTACTTTAACTTTGTTGCGGCAGTTAATCCCAACCAGCCTTGTGCCTTCCGAAGCAAGGAAGAGCTCGAAATAATCAATTTTAGATCACCCTTCCTGTGACCAGCCATTGCAAAAGTTGCTCAACGACCGTATCGCCGACCGAGCGCGCTTACACTGATTTAAAATATTGAAATTTCTTTTCTACTTTGTCCTTTTAATGTGCTACTATTATAAGGAGAAGAGATTTGATGGTTTGTTTGTATTAAATTAGAATCGTTTCGATTATATAATGACTAGGTCATTCGCAGGCGAGATAGGTTATAATTTACACGGGCGAAATCGTTGAAAAACAACTAGTTAGAATAAATAAACATGTTTGATATTGATGTTCGTACGTAAACAAATAAAATAATTTAATTCGATTACACAATCAAAACACGAAAATACTTTTGTAGCAAAAACATAATTTACATATAAATAGTTAGTTATAAAAATGCCAGCAGGATTCCTGTCTAGAATACAAGTTTTAATATTAGACCTCAAATGTACAAGTCGGATCGCAAATTGAATAGTTATGTGTATGTTTAATAAAAGCTGTATTATATTAATTTTAATATCAACCTTGTATCAACCTAGAATAAATGAGCTCTATAAATAAATTATTTTTGTAACACCTTTAAAATATGCTATTTTGGTTGCGAACTAAAGATAAACTGCGCATGATGGTAAGTTAAATATAGCCTTTTTCGACGAAGTGCACCTTAATCCTCAAATCAGGATCAGCCACCCGCCCTGAACAGTGCAGGTTAGTATGACTGGCCTACCTTATAAAATCCGCTGCGGATCATCTCACGTGGATAAATATAGATAAGTCTGGTATCCTGCAAGGAAGGTGTGGTCTAGGATGATATATGCCTACACAGTAAGTGCCTATTCACTCTGGCATTGTTCATTCCAAAGAGTACCATTCCAGGTTTTACCACTTGGTGAATACATGACCAGAGAGTTCATTCCATTCTTTAGCAGATAGAAAAATAAATTTACTGTGAATTAAATCTGTTTGACTATTACAAGCACAATTGAGTATTTTGTTTTCAAATAGGTAGGATTTAACTCCCTTGAATAATCCGTGTTGAATGATCTTAAATACTTATGGGGTGAAGTGAAATTTGCACGAGCTCTACTTTTATCTTTTAATGTAATGTTTTACGGACGAATGCCTTAGCGTACCTTCCAGAGCACGGAGTACTGGTCACCAATCTCAAGAGAAGCCTACGTGAACGTTTCTTCACATACGTGTGACTTCACCGAGCTAATTACTGATTTGCCAATATCTCGTTTTCACCAGGTGAACACCCCAGTAGGACTGCCTGTTGGTTCGTGGGCGCTTCGCGTCGTCACCCGTCAAAAGAACTCCACAGCACGCGAGGTTTACGACTTCGATCAAGACTTATACATACTCTTCAACCCCTGGAACCCTGGTAAGTGGGAAAAGTTATATTATAAGATGTATTTATTTTTATTGGTCCATTACTACAAAATGATGAACTCAATAACGTTTTGTTTAGACCCAAATGTCACTTTTCCCGGATGTGCCCATACGATATTATACTCTCGATTAGATAAAAGTGACTTATGGTGTAGGTAGACAAAGAGTTTCTCGAGGTTGTTACGCGTGCTGGATCACAAAATTAATCGGTTGTGTCTTTAAAGAGTAGTCACGTTAATTTCAATAGTATTTATATCACGTAGTGCTTAAAATCTCTTTGGCTAATATAATCGATTCTAGGCACTGTTTTGAATGAAATAAATCTATTATGAAAGAATAAATATATTTTAGCAATTTATTGCGATATGAACATATTTTTATTAAACTAGTTATTGTGTGTATAAGTAGGTATACCATAATTGTGTCAATTACTGTAAAACTATGATATCTGATGACTTGTGAAGCCTTACAGTGCCAACTATCGAGGCAAGATCTAACAACTCCTGAGAAAACTCCGTTTAGAGGGCGAAGCACGTGTAGTGTGGTGAATTTTTCGAGATTTGTTGCTGGTTGTATATTTGAATTCTTGTGCAGTCTTTGCACAGCAGGTCTTTATTTATTTATTTATTTTTTTGTTTGGACCACCAGTGAAAAATTACAATAAATCTTACATTCAAGATCACACAGTTAAACATAATAAATTGTAAAATTCTGTCTTGCTTGCAGATACTGATTAACTAGAAGTTGCTGGATATCATAGTTTACAGTTTTACCATTGGACTTCATTAAATACTTATATAGTGACGTCAAAATCTTTGCATTTGTGCGAAAAGACTCGAACCCCACTGCAATTCCACGACATAATTTTGAAAACTATTAATAGTAAAATTTTCTAAGTACCTATTTATTTTTAAAACTACAGAGCCGGATATATAGCTAAACTCGAACGGATAAAATGTTATCAATTTGTTTTCGTCAACGAAATTAACTTAGTTGAAAGGTTATGGTATCCGAATCAATATTCACATGTTACAGATGATCAAACTTACATGGAGGATTGTACCCTCCTTCAAGAGTACGTGCTGAATGACGTGGGCAAAGTGTGGGTTGGTCCAATCAAGACCACACGAGGAAAGCCATGGTTTTATGGCCAGTTCGATGGGGTCGTGCTGCCCGCTTGCATGTTTATGCTGGACAGAGCTGGCATTCCGTTCCACCAGTAATTAGCACTTTATATTAGTTTTAAGATACATCAATAGTTTCTGTTCAATTTCCTTGATTTCGTCTGCATAAAGTTGTTGAATAATTCCTTAGAAGAGTATTTTAGGGAACTATCGAGTCCTTGCAGCAAATAAATAAAATAAAGTCTTTAACTTCACCATGTCTCACCAAGGGGGGGTAAGGGGTTAAAAATGATGAGAAAAGATCACGTGATTAATGGACGGCCCCTAACTTGGTAATGGCTTCTGTGAATTCAAGAAGATGCATCAAAAATATATATTCGAGAATGAAGCAAAACATTAATTTCTTTTTGCATAAACCTGTATTACTACTACAAAAACCACTGAAAATACTAGTTTACGTATCTATGCCAATACATACTCTTTATATTTCAATTCTGAACACTTTGATGAACAGGATTTTAAAAAATTTTTAGCTATATAACTTGTCAATATTTGTTTCCAGACGAGGAGATCCCGTCAAAATGACTCGTGTCATATCACGTATAGTGAATTCTAATGATGACGCTGGTGTTCTGGTGGGGAGGTGGGATGGCGAGTATGATGATGGTACCGCACCCTCGGAATGGACTGGTTCAGTGGAGATCCTGGCGCAGTACCTGGAAACCCAACAAGAAGTGCCATATGGACAATGTTGGGTGTTCGCTGGAGTTGTGACCACAGGCAAGTCAAAGTTTACGTAAAACTTTGTATGTGTACGTATAAGTATATTGTTCCATAAATGTAAATAGCCAAAAGAAATAAAAAAGAAAAGACTGGAGTATTATAAGATAAAATATTTTGATTATTATTAACTTGATTTTCAGATTGCTTCCTTTCACTTCGAAATCTGCATAAAAGTCTAGAAAATAATATGATGATAATCTTTAAGTAGATTAAAAAAAGTGTCAGTATACTAAAAAATTGATGAATTTGATCGTTGCACAATATAATAATGTTTTTTTTTTATATAAATGCTTAGAATGTTTTTCACTACAAATGCAAGGAAAACATATATATAATAATGAGCCTCAACGAAAGCCACTGCTCGTCTAGTCTAATTGCTTTTACATATGTATTGAAATATTCCTAGTATAATAATTTTCTTATGATGGTGGTAAAATAAATAAACAAATCATCAAATTTAACACATTCTTCAGTTTGCCGAGCCCTCGGTATCCCATCACGAGTGGTGTCCAACCTTGTGTCAGCTCACGACGCGAACAGCTCACTCACCGTGGACAAGTATTACACGGAGACAATGGAGGAAATGGACTATGACCCTAACAACCCTCAAGGTGCTGACTCCATCTGGAACTACCACGTATGGAACGATGTTTGGATGGCAAGACCTGACCTACCTGCTGGTATGAGATTTTTTACTATATTTCCTGAACAATGTAAAAGTGAATCAACTTAATGTTATACTACAATTCTCTTTTAGCCGTAAAAAGTAACTAAGTCAAAAAAAAAACGATCAACAGCGTTTCTTTTTCAACCCGATTATTGCATTTGATATTGTATCCATCATCAATGTCCATCACCAAAAAGATTTGATGGAATTGCAGTAAGAATTTAAAATTTTACATGTAAAACTTATTTGTCTACTATACCTATTAATAAAATTATTATGCTTCTAAAAAGTTTTGGTATGTAAAAAAAAGTACGTAATATTTTTAAATTGAATCATAAATTGTATAGTTAGAAGCTTTGTGAGAAGCTATCGTAGTTCCATAAGATCCTGCAGTAACTGCAACCAATAGGCACAGAATATTTATCTAATAAGATAGATCTTCTGTGACTTTCCACCAAAATTAGAGTCGCTCTTATAACTTGATAACTTCCAAAAGCTTGATGTTCTTGGCTTTCAGACTTTTTATTCTTGTCTCAGCTTTGAGCTAGTAATTTATGATGGTATTATCAGGTTACGGCGGTTGGCAAGCTATAGACGCTACTCCACAAGAAACATCAGCCGGCATGTATCAGTGTGGGCCTGCATCCCTGGAGGCCATCAAGCAAGGCGTCATCGGAGTAGGGTATGACGTTGAGTTCATGCTTGCGTCAGTTAACGCCGATTTGATGAGATGGCGGAAGGATCCTGACGCGGAGTCTGGTTACTCCATGGTTGATACCAACAATTTCCAGTGAGTTTGACATAAGTTACCCTTAGGTTAGGTTTTTTTTTTCTACGAAATTTGATAGTGAAATGATATAGTGTGTACGTTTATATTAATATGGTTTATAAGAACCTGATCGTGCATCCCATCCACTTCAGCTGACGACGCCTCGAGATGCAGTCTGACTCAGCCAAAGGAATGGGAGGGAAAGAGACAGAGGTAGAGGACAGTTTAGTTTAGGTTATTAGGTATGGGGGTTCCAATTTTCCACACTTAGACGCCTTTATCGGTCGTTTATATTTTTAATGGACTGTATTACTTTAGTCAACCTAACTCCATCCAGACGCGCAGAGGCTTTTTATGAGTTAGGTACTCTTAATTATTATTTCGTTCAAGAATGGCTGAGAAGCAGATAATGAATTATTTTTCATGTCTCTCGAGAAATATATTATTTGTTGATTTTGTTTCTAGATGTATGATAAGGATTCTAAGAGGCACATGTAGGTAGTCTATTATGTATATATATATGGCAGGATTTTATGCTATTCCTCTTCCTTATTTTTCATTTATTTTGGTACCAAACAGTCATTTACATAACAAAGTGTGTATGACTAAATGTACTTTAAATTACAGACGAATAGTACCTAAAAGTTAACATTTTTTGAATTAAATAAACATGAAAATCTACATGATAAGACACGCATACATATAAAACAAAAACATTCGGCAAAATAATGATTTTGTATAATTACTTATACACTTACATTGCTCTTAAGCAAATTATCTAATTACATAGTATATCTTTTAACTTTGTCTTCAAAAATTATTTGACAAATTAAAGAGATCAAGCTCGGAGAATTCTTTATTATAAATGTTGTTGGAACGATAAAAGTAAGAGTTTCGTGTAAAATTATAATTTGTGCTTATCTGTTTGTGACTTTTACTTTGTGACTGTCATTTTAATGTAACTCCTTAATTGATTGCAAGCCACGTGATAAGTGATACAATCCATTTTATATTTGAAAACATGCATTATATATAGAAGATATAATGGTAAAATATCTTCTGTGATTTCAGTATTGGCCGTATGGTGTTGACGAAAAAGCCTTATGTATTTGATCCACTAGGAGATGAGGACAGAGAAGATATCACTTGTCAGTATAAACATAGAGAGGGGACTGCTTCCGAGAGACTAGCACTTATGAATGGCGTACGCTATTCAGAAAGAGCAAAGAGGTTAGTAAAAGCAATAAGTATTCTTTGAAGGAAGCTAATCGGCTGTACTGGGACCTAATGTTGATATATATGGATGTTGTAGAACTTTGATGGGTTTGATCACTCTTTATAAAATTAACGACAATCACGTAACAGCTAGTTCACATAGTTATATTACAATTATAAGTGTAGAGTTAGGTTAATTTTTATTTTTTCCAGATATTACGCAGTGGCAAACTCTTTGAAAACTGACATCAAATTCAACCTTCGTGACATCGATAATGTCCTTATCGGAAAAGAATTCAGAATCGTCGTGGATATTGAGAATGAATCGGAAGAGGTATTTAATAGAAATATGTTTTTTAGTTAAGTTATCGATTATTTTTATTAAATAATCAATATAAAATCATAATTATTTTTGTTTGGCAGCCACGTAACGTCAAAGCGTCTTTATCAGCCACCAGCGTGTTCTATAATGGTGTGAAGGCTGATCTGGTGAAGAAAGTTGAAGGCAAGATCTTCGTTGGACCTTCCAAAAGTAACAAGCTTATTTTTCTCGTTTCATTTTGAATGTTTTATCCTGCTTATGATTTTTGTCGTGACTGAAGCTCTATGAGCATCCCTTGTAGCTTAATGCTTCCATGTTATGCTTAATACCCACGACATTTAAATTATTTGAAACGTTCAATGTACCTAAACAAAGAAGGAAGAGAGAAAGAAATGTTTATTAAACACACAGTTCTAGTATATATGTGTAACAAAAAATGCAAAGGAAAGCAAATATAAAGTAAACAATAAACTTTTTGAAAAAATGAAAAATAAATAGAGCCGACTTCAGACTTAAAAAAAAATGATAAATAATACTTATTCAAGAAAATACAATCGAAGTCGTGCGCCTATCATTCAATTAATAACCCACAGAAGCGTCGACTTCTGCCTTTGAGATTTTTAATGAATTCCAAATACGTAATCTTTTGATATTTAGCTGGAAAGGGCCATGTCTTGCCATATCAACTAAATAAATAAATTAACGGAAATATCAGTGAACATATACGTATAAAAAATATATGTCGTAGTCGAACATGTAACCTCCTCCTTTTGGATTTTGAAGTCGGTTAATAAACGTACACTAGTTGAGCAGGTCTTAAATTTAATGTGGAGCCGTGGGGCTCTGCACACTGCTCTCTAATAACTAAAAAATGTTCCCGTTTATAAATGTTAGTTAATTGAATAAAAAAGTTTAAACATAAAAAATCTAAGAGAATCATCGTCTTTTGCTAAACAATAATATATTTTCCACCAATTATTGCGTAACAGTTGGCAGCATACATTTTGATCTTCCAGTCTTTGAGATGCGAGGCCCAACTAAAATATAATGACTAAACAACTTTCTGTTTCAGAGGAACAAATAAGTATACTAGTCAGATCAGAAGACTACCTGCCCAAGTTGGTGGAATACTGCAACATGAAGATCTCAGCGATGGCCATCGTCGACGAGACCAAACAATCATGGGCCGATGACGACGACTTCCAAATTCTAAAGCCCAATATTACCATCAAGGTAGATATAACTATTGACTTAAACGTTGTGTTTAAATTCTCTTTGCTATGACTTCTAAAAAATATATAAAAAAATTACATGCATATAATAACAAAAATATGTTTTATTATGATGTTTAAGTAATTATTACAATATGTACTACTATTATTTCAGAAATAGACTTATATATTGACAGACTTGCGTATGCTGTTAAAAAAAATCAGGGGTGACCGCCCCGAACTCTCTAGCTCTCTCTAGATACGGCATCTTAGCAAATATTCACTTCATTTTACTACTTTGGCATATTTTTTGTTGGATAAAAGAGTAAGTCGGTAACTCTGATGTCATATCCATAATCATCATTCTTTATCGTTCATTCGTCGTTATTAAAATACATGTGAAAGCAGTGAAATAGAACGAAATGTCGCCATAACATCGCTAAGGTGTCATAATTTATGGTTAGATTCTTAGCAAAAAATTTAGGTGATCGCACTCCAGGAATAATTTTGCCTTTACACAGTTCAACGAGGATCTGATCATCGGGCAGCCGACGACGGCAGTGTTGTCGTTCCCCAACCCGCTGGAGCGCGCGCTGTCCGGTTGCGAGTTCCGTCTTACGTCGTCAGGCATCGCCGGGCGTACGCTGCGGTTCCAGGTCGCCGATGTACCGCCCCGTGGAGTCGTCACTGCTCAACTGCCAGTACAGCCTAATGTAAGTACACCTATATTCTATACTTATCGTGCCATTTGTAGATCTATCTGGAGTCAAATCAATCAGTGATCTTAATCATATTGATGTCAGATTAAAATGGATCACATACTAACCATTGTCTTAAATCCGTAACTTTGATCATAATTCAGATTGATCGTCTAATGACCGACTTAGGCAGACTATGTAGATGCCAATAGGCATTATTATTGCAACTTGCTCTCGCTTGTATTTTATAAACCACACGCGGGTCGATTGTTGGTAAAGAACGGCTTCAAATATATCCTGGACCAAAGTATCATTATGCCAAAAATAAAAATATTATGCGACAAGAAGTGATCATTCTCTCGGTGGGTATATATCGTGCGATATTGATGATATCGTGCACTAAAAAGAACCTCCGCTAGATGGCGACTCTAGCAAAAGTTCATTTTTGCAGGAAACTAATAAAAAAACGAAAATAACCTGAAATTTGCAAAGTTCGAAACTTAGATATCAATACAAATACGAAAAAGTGCAAATAGAATATGAGTTATTTATTGAGTTTTGAAAACTAATTTACTTTTATACATGAAAGAAAACCGAAAGGGTTGTCATGGAGAAATCAAGAAAGTACCGTAGCAACATCTATGTTGATTTCGGGAACTATATTTTTTTAAATACTTCCTCATTGTATCTTACTGAACTCGAGAGTTCCTACGGTCTTTCGGAGTTGAAAGAGTATTCGCCTAATTAGAGAAAAATTACTGCTTGGAGCCTACTACCCTACTGAAGGTACCCCAAGTTGTGCGTTGTCAAGTGTATTTCTAAGATAAATTTATTTAATTTCAGAAAATCGGCAAAATCAACTTCGTTGCGACTTTCAAGTCTGTTGAACTCAAGGACATCAATGGAGCAGCCAGCGTTGAAGTATTTGAAGGATAATGCACTTATACACTCTAATATTTTCATCACGATTTGTTGCAGATATTGATAACACATGTATCTTGTGTTAATTATAAGTAAGAATACTTACATACTTAGTTGGATCTATTGTTGTTACTCCAAAAGATTCGATTTAATATTGATAGTTATTAAGTGCTATAAAATGTTATTTCATTGATAAAATACAAACACCTAAGTACACGTTAAATTATGTTAAGTCTCTATTTACAAGTATTTATGTAAGCTTTGAGATTATTTTCTATGTTTACTTATTATTATTATTAAAAAGAAAACATTTTTATAAGTTTATTTTATTTTTGACAAACCGATAATAATGCCATTGGTTTTTATTTATACAGATAAAGTGTCGATTTTTTTTTATTTTTTTTTTTTTATTTCACAAGTTCTTAGTCAGATGTCTATTAGTCGGACTCGCGAAGGTTTCCGTACCGGCGACGAGGCCTTAATTATTTATTTCTTTCTGTTTTTTTTTATCGTAATATAGCAGAAAAAAAATATATCATTTGTGAAAATTTCAAATTTCTAACTGTCAGCTTAGTGAAAGAGAGCGGAGTTTTAGTTATAATAGGGTCACGTTTTTTACCCTTTCGATACCTAACTCTAAAAACTGAGATACATCTCATTCATGTCGGGCCTGGTCCACAGACTATTCTTCTTTCGTCACATCCTTGCGTTTTCATCTAAAAAAAGTCAATTGCATTTCTCATTTACAATATGAACGAAGTATAGACAAAAATAATAAGCTCAAATTTAAACAAATCTTTATTACCAATTCCGTGCAGTCCACCATTTTCGCTTACACAAAACGTCCACAATATTTTTTGACACAATTTTGTTCTTTTATTGAGCTGATTTCACTATAGGCAGCTGATAATCAACAGATGCAGATCGATGCAGAGGTAGAACTCACATTAAATTAAATAATACACTCAAAACCACCCAGTTACAACTTTTTATTTTTTTCCGAATAAAAAATAAGAGGTTCTCTATTCGACTGTATGTTTTTTTATCTTAATATCATTCGTTATTTTAATATCAAGAATATAGAGTACATTACGGCAAAGAGAAGCAATTTCTGTGAGCACATTTAAAAGGTGCCGATGTACAGTTTCATTTTTGAAAAGCACGGCAAAAAATATGCGCACTATGTTTGATGCCCGCCCACATCGTGACATACCTCGAGTAATGAGTTATAGTACTAGTAACTTAAAAGCTTGCTCTCTTCTGCGCAGACGAAGTTTGTCGTAGTTTATTCACTAACATCGAATTTTTGAGAATACGCATAAATATACCCCTATTTTCCATGCAATTGTAGGCCTTATCATCATAAAACGAAGATTTGATTTGTAATATGTTATAATCTTTATCCATCGATGGCTGCCATAGTAAAATCATGAATACATTCTACCAAACACCGCATAATTACTTGAAGCTTATAAAACTACTTTTCACTAGTTCATTGATGATTTGTTTCTAAAATAAACTAAAATAATGTAAAAACACAACAGGCATATAAGCGGTACGCAAAACGTTCGCATTCATATTATCACACATTCATTATAATTGATTGTCTGTCCGTCATATGAAAATAATAATAAGTAATAATAACGATAATTAATACACCGTGATATTTATTCTCACATCGACAGATGTAAATTACATGGATCAAAGCTGCAACAACTACGTCGCCCACGAGTGTGCTGTTGCTAAACTTATGAATGATTCTTACACCTTATTAAAAGTGAAAAAAATAATGAGGAGGTATTAAAAAAAACTAAAGCACTGAAAAGCACCTCCACTAGATGGCGACTCTAGCAAAAGTTGACTTTTGCAGGAAACGAATGGACCAAAAACAGTCATTTACGTTTCTTTTAACTGACATATAAAAAAAAACTGAAATTTGAAAAGTTCTAAACTTAGATATCAATACAAATACGAAAAAGTACAAATAGAATATGAGTTGTTTATTGAGTTTTGAAAACTAATTTACTTTTAAACTTGAAAGAAAACGAGAAAGATATTCATGGAGAAATCAAGAACGTACTGTAGCGACATCTAGTTAGATTTCGGGAACTATTTTTGTTTTAATACTTCTTCATTAGATATTATACATAGAGAATGAAGCCATTCCTCAAGTTGTCCTCGTTAAGAAAATTATATAGATAGCGATACAATATTAGTCTCTCTCTACTTGCGTGAAGAAACGACCTTGGCTAAACAATTCGAGCTGTTTATAACTTTCATTTACTGTGCATGCATCAGTAAGAGACAGATAGTGTACCCCAATCTCTTCTCTATTTCCGAGTGCATTTATGCTTACAGGAAATCACACCTGTTATCTAATAATACCTACATGAAACAAAAAAAAAAAATATTAAATTATCAAATAAAATCAACAGCACGTGAGGTTGTACAAACCTTCAAAATTTCTTCATACTATTTTAAGCTTTAATGCGTTGAATTTAGAGTTTAAAATCAAATGAGGAAATTTGGCATTACTTAACATGATGTACTACTGTGAGTACAACTTTTCGGTACAGTAACGGACAGTCAATCATTCTTAATATAAGCATTTATTGGTCATCGGAAACATGTAACTCTAGATTTACTCCAAGGAACTGACGGGACGGTGAAACAACTACACCAGGCCTTAATTCTGCTAATGTTCTTTAAAAGAGATCATAAAACACATAATATTGGCCCCTAGGTAAAAAAGACATTGGCAGAATATAATTAATTGAATGGCCAAGCCACGTATACACTGAGCGAACAGGCTGTCTCTGGAGGCAAAAAGCAATCACGGTCTAAAGACAATTGCCATGTGCAAATCAAGTTATTTTTATTCTTCCTCGCTTGTTCCACATTAACGGGATCATTTACATGACGTAAACGATAATAAAAATAGTTAGATTATTTTCGATCCTTCTGGTCCATTATTGTCACACCATTATTGATTTCAATAAATTAATGAAGTAGACTTCACGATAAAATGAGCGTTAGATTTTGTTTAGCCTCGCTTGCTTACGGAAACTTCAAGCAAAGGAAACTATAGGGTCCTTATTCCCTATGACAATCGATATTTTACACTTGAATCTTACCATACAAAATCACGTCATCTTGGCCTAACCATGTCACGGTAAAGAATCTGCTGAATTACGAGTATTTTATACTGTATTCTAGTTACGTTAACATTAGCAAAATCGAGGCCCTCTATTGACAACATTTCAGCGTTGATATAAGTTTATTAATATTTTTAATATAATCAAGACAAGAAAAGCCCATATATTTCATATTCCACATTTTAAACACCTTCATACATATGTATGTTTTTATACAGTTAACTGTACGTATATAAAACTGTCAAATTTCGCGACTCTATTTTAAACTTTCTCTCTCTCTAAATACGTCGATTTCTAATTTGAATTTTCAGGCCTTTAGTGAAATGTTGACAATAGTTTTCGTTCTCTCTCACTCACTTAGATATATAACTATATGTATTCAATACATATTATGCCCGGCTGTTAATGATACCTAATTATCTTAAGTTTAACATTTTTCAAAAATATGCTAATCCATGAATTCTATTACACACTAATAACGATCCATTTAACTCAAAAAGCGGGCATAATCGTGTCCTGTCACTAAACAAAAAAAAAAAACAAATCACAAATGTTAGCTTTAAAATAAAATGGGTTAATTTATAGGTACTCATAAAATTGTCACTTTACAAAATATTATTACTGATATTAATCAGAAAAATAAATAGAAACGTAACATTTCATTATATTGAAACAGAATTTGACGAACTGTTTGTTTTTATAATCATCAATGCGATTGGTAAAACAATGCGTATAAATAACGTTTGAAAAATATGCATTGCCCGATAAATTAATTTCTTAATTTATAATTACTCAATTGAACAAAATTGCTCAAGTTTACGTTGGGTAAAGAACTGCTATGACCGAATAGGGAATATGCGTCTGATTAAAAAAAGGGTTAAATATATTTTATCACAATCGTTATTGCTTTAAAATAAAGTCTATCTAAATATTTTTCAAAATAAATTCGTTTTCGTCTTGAAAATAATTATTAAAAAGTGCAAAATAAATGCGGTAACTTCAAAATATTTAAACGCTATGCTACTTGTCAGAGCGGATGTGACGAAAATGTACACGTATAGGGATGTCATTGTTACAAAAAGTTAACATCGATGCAATAACATTAATGTATTATGTCGCAAAATAAACAACTGATTACAATTTAAATGATGTTTTAGACTTTTATTTCACCAATTTGGTAAATTATATGATTTATTAAAAAAGTCTATTATACTTTAAAAAATCAATTAGTTATTAATCGATTTGGGTAATTGAATAATAATCGATCACTCAAAATCCATATTGATTTAAAGTGTCATATCTCTAGTCGTGTACTTTGACGTCACGACGAGCGCGCCAAAAATTCCGGTGTTTAAACTGCTCGTAGCTATTACTTATTTTCATCAATTATTAATGTAACAAAATTTTAGTTTTTCGATGCCGGGATTTTTTTTTACAGTTATACATCGATGTAAATTATCATATAAAAACATTTTCTGAAAATGTGCATATTCCCTATGGCCAGTACCGAATTCTACCTATCGTAACCAGCTAGAGCAGCGTATATTTTTTAAAGTAACTACTAGTGTGCTATAAAGTTTATTCTAATCCATTATTGAGTAACAAATTTATCTACCATCATTTCGTAAAATCGGAAATTCGTAGAACCTACTTGGTTTAATAATCTCTATTGGAATAATATATGTAAAACATTCTATGTGTGAAAAATAAGAGGTTAGTCAAATGATTACTTTCTACAATGTTACTTTTAAAACTATTATTTGTCATTTGTTTTTTGGTGAAACATCAGCGAACCGGGCATAATACATACTTACAAATGCAGAAGGTAACTAACTTATACTTGCAATATTTATGAATAGTGTAACGAAATATTTTAATATCATCTGTTTACATATAAACGAAAATAAAAAGGCATCAACACAATGATTTTCTCTGATTAAAAAATAATATTATGTAACAATTTGTATATATTCAAATTTCTAAAGACCAAAATAGTCTTATTGAGATCACGCAAACTACTCATTTGGAAAATTTCGCATATGTGATCTTGATTCTAGTAATACTTATAGGATAATATTATATTAAATAATGAAAAATATTTTGAACATTTTTTTTACTGTCTCATCAGTCCACCGTTTTTTTAATAGCTTTTTATAGCTGTAATTAATATAAGTTTTGACCGGCGGCTGAGAAACTTATATACCTCAGAAACAACTTAATATAATATGATTTTGTCGTATGATATTTTAATTAGCTTAGCATTAGCTATTACGCCGGACTGATAAGACGACCACGAGCCATACTTAAAATATTCTAATTCCATTATTGCTTTTTCACAATTTCACTCAAATATATTTAATTTCATAATAACTTATATATAACACCCAAACATTGTGTTTTTGGTAAATTCATCTCTATTGCTAGGGGCACAAAAGTGAAACTTAATTGTATTGTTCGATGCTTAGGAATAAATTATGACTTTCATAATAATTTGTGACGGCAACAGACCTTATGACAACGGGATAGATTTCATGTATACTATGAACCCTATTTCCGTATGGTAAGGTACAAATCGGTCAATATAAATGAGTCATACATGCCAAACTGCATTAAGAACTATTATAATAGAAATGAAGATTTTAATATTTTGTTTTTATTTAATAAAACACATTATCAATTGAATTATGACATAATTTAAAGTATTAATGTTTCATTTACTTCAAAATGTTGACAAAAACTTAGATTGACATTGAAATCATTACAATTTGCGATTCAGACACATGGCGCTCAAATATACCAATGAAACATCTACCGGTATATTTTTTAAATCAAACCGATACCAGTATTTGTTATTTGAACTCTATAATCTCTTGCATAAGGTCTGTTCCGAATATCAGCACTTAATGTACCTTGACTTTCCCAGTGACGAGTTTGGCGTACTCTTCGTAAAACTTTGGGAAAAACTGTATAGCAAAGTATATGACAGTGAGGTATGCCACAATAGCTACCGTCAGGATTAAATCAAACACTGCAGGTTTGACGCTGTAAAAATAAAGATTAATTATTACTAGTTGTAAAAAGAAACAAATAAGATCAACAATTTATCAATATGCCTAGGGATGGGATCAAATAGATAGAAAGGCCCATGACCCATCATGTGGGTCCAATGTGGGTTACTAGGTGTTAACAACTGTAGAACCACTACCTGAACTTCTCTAGCGTAATTTCTATGTCACCATGATGTAGCTTAGCGTAGGTGAAAGAATTTTTAAAATTGAACCGACAGCTTCGAAGCTTATTTGGTGTAAAGAAACAGTAAAATGTTTGCTCTAACTATTATTATTTATTTATTTATTTACACCAACAAACTATTGTATATACGATATCAATTTGTATAGCTAAAGGTAATAATAATTTGCACGATCAGCAAAGTTATCCACAAAGTACTAGTTATTATTCGTATAGATTTTTTTTTTATATTTTACAGTATAATGAACTGATAATAACTATATTTTATTGTAAGTTAAACAAAAAACCGATAAAACAGTATTAATAATGGGTTTTTATAACTATAGTACTGACTTACCTGTAAACGTATACCACGGCTCTGGTGGGTGAATACAGCGTGTATTCAGGCTCTCTCTTATCTACAGTATGAACATTTGCTGTCACATCCATATAACGGGAAAGCGCACGTTCTAGCGCCGCTGCTACACCTGTACACACCAAAAAAGTGCAAAAACTATTGAAAATTCACAACAAAAAGAAAATATTTTCATCTCATATATATAAGACAGTCGCGATCGTATGCAATTTTGTCATATAGTTTATGTGTTCAAGACTCGAAAACCATTTCTTTTTAATGACGTAAAAATGTACTAAATCGACTATTGGAATGCCTGATTGCGAGTCGAAATGTGGTTAACCGGGTCTTTTTTGGGCCTCCTATCGCAGTGCTCTTATGTCCGCGACAGATATCGGAAAACTGGTTAATATAATTAGCCGGTTCGAAAGAAACTTCATACTTTTTTGAGAACATTGTCGTTTGGGTTTCGGTTTTTTTTCAAAATATAAATTACTAGCATTCCGCCAGCGGCTTCGCCCGCGTGATCCCTAGCGAACTGTTTATTTGGGTAGCGATTCATAGCATGACACATAAAATTACAAATTGATAGTAAACAATGATTGCTGTTATCATAGCATAGTTTTTCATACATATATTTTTGGTATCTTGAACCGTTTTCGCAGCGCACGCAACGGAAGCCCTCAATTATGAATAATTTTCCCCGTTTTTTCCACATTTTCTATTATTTCTTCGCTCCTAATAGTTGCTTCCTCGATAAATGGTCTATTCAACACAAAAATAATATTTCAAATCGAACCAGTAGTTCCTGAGATTAGCGCGTTCAAACAAACCAACAAACTCTTCAGCTTTATAATATTAGTATAGATTTCGGTTCTGATCAAAGATCAAAGCAAACGGTTATACTCAAATTATCGGTTAATTTCGCTCACAGATTTTGGTTACTCCGCACATTTATCGCTTTTTTTTTATCTTATCTGTAACGTCTTACATACTTACGCCACATTTTGTTAATATAAAACCACCACTCATCGTAGACGGTGTACGTAGAACAACTTCTTTGGCGCCTTTCAATCAAACGGATGTCTCTGCTGTATTTCGAAGCAAATCAATCGTGACACATGGACGGACATAAATATTGACACGTGTTGTTTCTTAAAGTACAGAATTCAAAACAACAGTATTATACAAGGTATTTGTTGGTGAGTTGATTATCATACTGACCTGAAAGTGGAGTCGAACCCGTAGTGATTACATGCGGCGCTCTCGATTGCGACGATAAATATTTGAACCAATGTTTGACGGATACCTCTTCAATACCCTGTTATTAAAACAAACAGATTTATTAACAACGGTAAGATAAAACATCAGCAACATCATATAGTCTAAGAGATTGTGACAAAAATGTGCAAATGCTTTCTTAAACTTGATATTTCATTGTTTAAGTACTTAGGGTGACAGCAGCGCAAAACCAACTTCTAACGATAGCTGAACATTTAAATCGTGAGTGATATCACCATTAGTACTTCAGCATACTGAAATATCAAGCTTTATAAAGCTCTCGCAGATTTTTGTAACGAACTCTCTGTCTACTAGGCTTTTATATAACATCATAAACAACAACTTTTAATTTAAAGTTTAACCGTAACTCAGAACTTTGAACAAAAATGATAAGTTTTTGTTACATTTGTTTTACAAATAAATAACCATTTATAACAGTATGATATCAAATCGCTACAAATTAATATCAAATATCTCCGATCTCCGATTATCAATTGTAAGTCTTAATCTGTTGACAGTTCACATAAAAATAAGGTCTCTGTTTAAAAAAGTTATTTGTGTTTAGTCTAACTTACAAAGCCAAAAAAAATATCACGGATAGAAATACTTTTTTTGTGCAATTAAAATTATAGTCTTAACGTTATTTTGATATGTAGGTAACACAGATTAAAATATGTCAATCAGAGAAGAACGATGTTGCTACAAAATAAAAAGGTAAGAACAACGCCATCTAGGGCCACAACTGATCTGACAGATGCAAAAATATTTCTGCCGATACGACGTCACACCATGGCGGGTCGTATTTCAATTCACGTGATTATCAGACATAAAAACTAGACTTTTAATTTAATTAAACAATAATGCACATCCACGTTTATTTCTTAGTTTCTGTGGAAATGCGTGACATATTTTTCAATAACTACCCTATTACTTGCAGTTTAGCCTGTATATAAACAGTAGGAAGAATTCCTTAGATCATTTCATTTCATTTTATAACTTACCAGTGCTTGATCATAAAGATCGCGGTCTTCACTAGACGCCTCGTCTGTCAAGTTGTATATGTGTGACGCGAGAGCGCGCGCTATCGAACCAATGTTTGATACCAAGTTCTTGAGTGACGCTTCCGAATACGAGTCTAATACGGAACTCCGAGATGGGTCTTTATGACTCTGTATCAAATTGCAAATTTATAAGTTGTTTCCTATCGTTACAATTTAAAATTAAAATTATACTTAATTACTATAGTCCAGTCGACAAAAAGAAACAATTTCATACGTTGAACAAAGTTGGCTAGATGTATCTGTGCGCAAAAACAATATGTTGGCACTCGAGTGAGAGATATATAATGAATGCCGTGTCAATGTATAAAATCCTATCTGTTTGGCGACCGAACTATAATCTAGAGGACTGCCGCCATCTTGTACAGAAACAAGGAGATTAAAATAGTTCATGAAAGCAGAGTTTTCAAAGTGTCATTTTTGTATGAATTTATAGTAGGGTACATTTAATTACAATATGGTGACCCTGATACGTCTGCACTTCCAGTATTACTATATAATTCATAAGTTACAACGAAGTACCTGCGCAGAAAATTTTATTTTTTAATGTGAGAAAAAGTTTATTCCATTTGTAATGTTCCGTGGTTACCCAAGAGCCGTGTTCGTTTGCTATTGGATAATTGTTTAATATGTGCAACATATTCGATGTCCGCAGAAACGCCTCAACAGTCAAAATTTTTTGTTGATATTAAGGGCCTGTGCACACCGTGATTTATAAACGGAAGATCGACGTGCATTTGTAGCCTTACAAACACGATACTCACGCAAGTCAAACGCAACTTGAAGACATTTATACACCTGAGTAAAAAGCCCGTGCACACCATATTTTGATTCACTTTTTATTTAACGCGCCGACGAAGCGCGTGTCTATCGTTATACATATGCTTGTGTAGCGAAACAGTCGCGTGTATGATACAAACGCGATGCTAATGTTTCTTAAAAGTTGGCTGTCTTAGTTTAGCCATTCCAATCCCAATAAGCACAGATTATTAGGGTCTTTACAGGCGGTGCGGAGTGTTGATAAAGAAAAATGAACGCTAACGTAACGCATACCACATTAAAATCTATATTTCAAGAGTTGTTCATTTCATATGTGATCGATTTTAGCTTGGTCTCTTCTACGCTGACGTATTTTGGATATATTAGTACCTGCAAGGAGCTCAGAGTGAAGGCAGTGATCCTCCTGATGCTGAACCTCTCATGATGCCAGGCGAGGGTCTCATCCGCTAGATTAATCTTCTTGTGTGTGAAGGGCACGCCCGCGCGCTCTTTTATAGAATGTGGAGCACCACCAGCCTTAGGCGGCTTTGACACGTGCATACGCAAAGGACCCGATGACGATATAGAATCCAAACACATGGCGAAAGAGACGTCCTAAGAGACAAATATGATACTGATAAATATTTATTGGAATTATATAATTATTTGGTCAGTGTCGAAAGGGCAGAGAAGCGTCAATCTGAAAATTAATATACCAAATTCTCTCAAAACTTAATGTTGATATTTTATTATGAACCTTTGCTAATCAGTGAGAACGAATTCGCACTCTTTTCAGAAAATCCTTTTTTTTTGTTATAAGCTAAGTGTTAAAATTAAAGGTAAAGCACTTTGATTGTAAAGAATTTGACGCTTTGATGTGGTTAAACTTTGAACTAGCATGAGTGAACTATCTGAGACTTGTAGTTAATAAGTATGGATATTCATGATTTTTTTTTATGGTTTTATGATAGATATACCGCTCATCCAGCAGGACGATTACTTTCACCAACGATTTTTCAATTACGTGATCAGGATACACTAGATACACTTTCTATCCTTATACTTTTGACATAATTTTCTATCATTTTTCAAACGAAATTTTAAATGTTTATATCTCACTTAATTATTTTAAGAGTATATATGACACGATATTCATTTAGTGATAAGTTTTAATTTAAAATACAGCAAAATAAGAGAAAACCAAATACCTGTAGAAGTGAAGCATCAGCTGAGTCAAGATGTTCCTCCAGCCATTTTTTAATAGAGAAATAATTGAGCGAGTGTCCGGTGGCGGTCAGTACGAATAACAAAGAAGGTCCACCTCGCGTCGATGCACTTGAGTACAGTCTCGAGAATATACGTGCCAACTCTAGCACGGCTACCGCGCCTGACGCGTTTGAGTCCGCGCCGTACGACAAATCCTTAAAACAAATAATTAAGAAACTTGAAAAAAACTTGAAAAAAAAAAAAAAAAACGAAAAAACGGACTGGCGTGTACGGTTGTCAAATCGTTACAGCTGATTTAATTTTATTTAAAATTTAATTTAAATTAAATATATCGCGATATTTATTATTATTAGTTTTGTGAAAGTGAAAACAAAGCCTTAAGTGTTGATAATTGATCTTACCATGTAAATATAATCGCTTACATTCAAATAATCGTGCCAGACAAATATGTAACGTCTATCTGTCGGAGAAGATAAAGACGAAAAACAAACAAAAATCTATCAAGAAAAGATATAATTGTGGACTGCTGCATCACAAACCGGGGAAGTACTTTTGTTCCATAATTTAGTAAAAAAATATACTGCTGATACTTCATTATATTTCCTTGTATGAGTTTTATGTGTGGCATTTTGGTTTCTCGATACCTTAATTTTCAAATCATTACTCTTATCAAAACTCACGAATAGTGAGTAACGTCACAAAACATAACAATTTGGTACTGTTAACCTCTCTTTACTTGACATAAAGTGGAAGTAAAGTTGATGGTGACCGAGTTGCCACAGACATTCATTATTGCTACTCTTTACAAACATTACTCTTGTACAAATAAACAATAACATTAACACAGCTGAGAAACTTATTTTCTGCATTAATTGTTTCATATATAAAGCTTAATGTCCATTAGGTATATTATTATTGCATTAACTTTTAATAAAAAATAATTGATAAAGAAATCACTTATTGTGTATGATTCAGATTAATAAAAGAACTAAGATTATATTATGTTACATCTCTTTGACTCTAGTGTATGGACAAGACACTGCTGTAGATGTTAATATTGTAGAAATAAATGTAGCTTAAATTAAAAATGAAAAAGTAATTGTATGGGAGGGGGTGCACATTATAATAAATTATTTAAGATTATTGATTAGTTATTATTATCATTATAATTGGTGATTGGTTATAAAGTGATACCTTTTCTTATAAACTCTTATTGAACAAAAATAATTAGGATATTTTATTATTCTTCTACCCACCTATTGAATATTATTATATTTAAAATCAATATTTCATCTTTACTGATTATTTAGGTGCTTAAATAGGATAAAATAGTATATTTTGAAACTTATTAACTTTCCAATTCTCGCATTAATTCTGCTTTGTTTCTATTTTTTTAGGAAATTTGATTCAATATGTTGACCCGTAAGGCTGCTGCACAAAATACAGAAATGCAGTTAAGGCAAGCACTACAGGAGCTAAAGGATTCAAAGGACACATGTAACCAGTTACTACAGGAACGAGATGAAAGTGAAGAAGAAATCAAACGTATTATTGGTCGGAACTCACAACTGAAGAGTGAGCTTGGTGAACTGCATACTGAGCATATAGAAGTAATGCATCAAAGGGACCATTTTAAGGATGCACTCAGTACTCTCAAAGAAGAATTAAATACTCATGAGAGGGTACTCAACCGCATCACAGAACTGGAACAGGAGCTCAACTTGGCCAATAATAAAATAGAACTACTGCTCGAACAACAAAAAGAACATGAAGCAGAATACACCCAAAGTCTTTTTGAAGAACTGGTAGCATCACCTGGAGGTCAGTCGATGAGGCATCAACTAACAGCCTGTGATATACACTCTAAGAGTCAGATCAATTTTAATTTAAGTACTAGGAAACTTAAGAAATATATTAAAATTGGAAAAGTTATCCAGAAAACTGAGAGATTGATAAAGAAGAATAATTGTTTTTATAAAAATATTGCCTTGAGGAAACAACGCAGTAGTCTGATGGATTCTTTGGAAATATATAGTGATAAATTATGTGAAAGTCGGCAGATGTATGACCGGGATACAAAAAAATTTCAATTTGAAATAAAAAAATTACATGAATCAATAGAATTAATACAAAATAAATATTTAGTTGCACAGTCTCAGATTGATGAGCATATTAGGTCTGCCACAGAGTTGGTTAACCTATGCAATTACAATGCTGACCGTTACCATTCACTGTTAAATAATAAACAATTAATTAACAAAACAAATAACAGCTTTAGTAACAATAACAATAATAATATTCAGAAACAATTTATAAATACAGTTACACAGAAACCCTGTCAGTCATCTGCCCACCAGTCACAACTGTTTACTCAGGTACCTGTTCAGTCATCTGTTACTGATGACTGCTCCCCATCACAATTTTCCCAACGTCACAGAATAAATTCACAAAATTATAAAAATAATATTTTAATGTTCAGTGATGAAATTGGCAGAAACATGGGCCGTTTGCTATTCGATAAGGGCCATTCAACATTAAACTTCTGTATGCCTAATTCCTCTTTTAGTGATATTTTGGAAAAAGCAATTAAACAAAACTACAGCGAAAATACCACTTTATTGTTTTTTATTGGCAATAGAGGTACTTTGAACAAACATAAATTATTGAAATATATAAACGAATTAAATACATTAAGTGTTGGGAAAGTCGTGATTTTTACGTTGCCGTATTGCAATAGTTTGTCCAATGAAGAAAATAATTTGCGATACAAATTGAATATGACATTGCACACTATATGCAATACTGCAAAGTTTCATGTCATTGACACTAACAAGTATGTTAGAAAATTTTATTTGACTAAAGATAAATATTATCTTTCCAATTATTATAAGAGACAAATAGCTATTTCGCTATCATATTTTTTTTCTATAACAGCCAAAAATTTGGCTAACCAGAGTGCTCCTATTGAGCACTCTTCTATTGACATGACTGTCAGTAATAATCCTACTGACATTGCGACAAATTCGTCTTTAAATTAGATACTAAGACAACAGAGGATTCCTCTTGCTTGCTATTGAATAGTCAAAGTAATAATGGAACCAAGAGTTTTTCAGTCATCAACCTAGTGCACCAAAATGTTCAAGGAATGTTGAGCAAAGAGTTAGAAGTGGAATTATTCATGAACTGTAACAATGTTGATTTTTTCTGTATTACGGAACATTGGTTAACAAGTTATAATTGCATTTTTAACTTCAATAATCACCTGGTTGGTAGCGCGTTCATTAGGAAAAACGCAATGCGTGGTGGCGCACTAATTTTATTAAATAAAAAGTTTAAATTTAAAGAACGTAGAGATATAGTGAGCCTATCGGTTGAGGAAATAATAGAGATTGCCTGTATAGAGCTGGACCAGCTGATTGTACTGAGCGTATATAGACCTCCTTCAAGTTTAGTTTCTCATTATGATCTCTTTGAAACTGTTATGGATGAAGCATTAAAAAAGGTATATAGCAAAGGCAAACGATTAGTGATTGGGGGTGATTTTAACGTTGATTTATTAGGAAACTCCAATTCATGTACAAGACTTGTAAATCTATTTATGTCCTATAATCTTGCGCACATGTTTAAGGAGCCTACTAGAGTAACTGCTACTTCGTCCACATGTATTGACAACATTTTTACAGATCTAGTACCACTTTCAAGACAGATAATTAAACAACTACCGTCAGATCATTTTGGACAACTAGTTAGCTTTCCGCATAAATGTACGTTTGTGGCTAGGAGAGACATTACAGTTGTGTCAAAAAGTATGAGTCGCTTGGAACGTTTTAAAAATCAATTAGATAGTAAATTGTATCATTTGAAACATAATAGTAATCCCAATGATTTGTACAAAGATTTCTTTGATGTTTATTGTACAGAATTCAATAAGATTTTTGTCCCAAAAAAAATAAGTATTAGTAATCCTATAACTTTTAGTGTGTGGGCTACACCAGGAATCTACAAAAGCAGAAAAAGGCTCTATGAACTATATGATGAACGTAATTATAACACAAGTGAGGACTTCAAAGAATATGTACGAAATTACTCTAAATTATTTAAAAAAGTGTGTCGTTTAGCCAAATGTAATTATTTAAATGCAAAAATTGAAAATAGTAAAGACAAAGTTAAAATGACGTGGAATATCATAAATAGTGAAACTGGAAGAGAAAAATCCCGGAATATAAATTTTAATTTAAACATTGATAATAAAAAAGTAACATCAGATCTTGAAGTTGCTACAGTATTTGAAAATTTATTTACTGAAATTCCAGTCTTAATTACACAATCTTTGAATTCCTCTTCCACTGTTGCTGAATCTATTTTAAAGGCAAGTTTAAATAATTCTAATAGCCAATTTAAGTTTCAACACATTGATTTTAAAGATATAATAAAATCTTTTAATCAGCTAAAGAAAACGAAAACTGCTGATTTATGGGGTAATTCCATTGAAGTTTCTAAATCGGTAATTGAGACAATAGCTCCAATCTTAGCTTATATATTTAATGAATGTACTGATTGTGGTATTTTTCCTGAGCTCATGAAATATAGTAAAATTATTCCTTTACATAAATCGGGTAGCACATCTGACCCTACTAACTTTAGACCTATATCCGTGCTACCTACGTTTAGTAAGATTTTTGAAAAAATCATGCTGGATCAAATACAAACGTACTTTTACAAGAATAAGCTTATGAATCGACAACAATTTGGTTTTACAAGGGGTCGCTCGACAACCGAAGCCGGTGTCGAGTTAATACAAGAAATTTTTAATGCCTGGGAGGATTCACATGATGCGTTAGGTGTTTTCTGTGACCTATCTAAGGCATTTGATTGTGTTTTTCATGAAACATTGATTAGGAAACTGCATTTTTATGGATTTAGAGATAACTCATTGGATTTTATTGTCTCATACTTGACTGACAGAGTACAGAGGGTTGATATCAATGGCAAAAGATCCCCTGGATCGAAAATTAAGATGGGCGTTCCGCAGGGCTCAATACTTGGTCCTTTCTTGTTTTTGATTTACATAAATGACTTGCCTTATTTCGTAAGGGATGATCACGAAATAGTTTTGTTTGCGGATGACACTTCACTCTTGTTTAAAATTAAAAGAGGGTTACCTCTAAATGACGATGTGAACAATTCTATCGCTAAAGTAGTACATTGGTTTAATGTAAATAATCTTCTCCTTAATGAAGGAAAAACAAAATGCTTAAAATTTGTACTACCTAATGTTAAAAAAGTAGATATAAATGTTAATGTAAAAGATAAGAACATGGGCCTTGTGGATACCACAGTATTTTTAGGAATAACATTAGATTCTAAACTACAGTGGGGCCCACATATTGATAGATTGTCGAGTAGACTTAGCTCTGCAGCATATGCCGTAATGAAGATACGTAGGTTAACTGACATAGATACTGCCAGATTAGTATACTTCAGTTACTTTCATAGTGTTATGTCATACGGTATCCTATTGTGGGGAAATGCTGCCAACATACAAACAATTTTTGTGCTTCAGAAAAGAGCAATTCGATCAATTTATAATCTTAGGATTAGGGACTCTTTAAGGGAGAAATTTAAGGAAATAGACATTATGACTGTTGCTTCTCAATACATATACGAGAACTTAATGTACGTTCGTAAAAATATTAGTTTGTTTTCTATTAAAAGTGATGTACACAATTTTAATACAAGAAATAAAAATAAATTAACGGTGCCTGTCACTAGACTGCAAAAAGTTAATAACTCTTTCAAGGGTCTTTGTGTGCGCTTCTACAATAAGGTCCCAAGCAAAATACAACAATTAGATATCATGCAGTTTAAATCTACTATTAAAAAAGCTTATTATAAGGTATCCGATTATGTAACAGATAAGAACGCTTGGACTTGAGATGATCCAGCAACTGGATAGGTGATTACTTCTAAACTCATTATCTTGTTTCCATTATTATTAAATGATTATGTTATTATTATAAGACCATAGTTTTTTTTATCTCTGTTTATAATGTATTGATCTGGTAATGACATGGTTTTTGTAAATGTCATATTAGAGCTGGTGAGTTTCTTGCTCGTTCTTCTTATCAGCCAAAAGACGTCCTGAACAAGTGGTAGGGAAAAAATGTTGGACGATTCAAAAGTACTTTTAAGAAGTCTATTTGAATAAAGATTATTTTGACTTTGACTTTGACTTGTTGAGTTACTCTATAATGAGTGAGACCGGAAAGAATAGTCACACTCGCACACTTGCTTGTTAAATTGTCATAGAAGAGCTTCGCAAAACAAAAATTACCTAGGACAGATTGAACCAAATCCTTTGTATTCCTCGGCCAAAGGCCGTATACAAAGTGTGTGTCACGATTGACTCGACGCGTACTATGATTTCGCAAGAATATATGTATAAGTCTGCTTCAGCACTGCCATTCTTTTAAAGAATAACATAATCTGAGGCTACATCCATCCACAGGATTGCTCAAAGGCATTTTAAAACAATTTGAGGGTGGTCCGCCACTACTGGGGCGTGATTTTATGTTAAAATTTGAAATGTTTTTTTCAACCAATTTAAATAAAATTGAATTAGAGAAATCGACAGTTGAGGTGCAGCAATTACTGAATACATATTCTACCTTGTTTAAAGACGAACTTGGCAAGTTTAATAAATTTGAAGTCGAAATTAAATTACGAGAAGGTTCACAACCAAAGTTTTTTAAGGCCCGATCAGTTCCATTTGCACTAAAATCCCGAATAGAGGAAGAAATAGACAGATTAGTCAGTTTAGGTATTTTAGTTCCAGTAAATCATTCAAATTATGCTTCACCAATAGTCCCAGTTCTTAGGCAAAATGGAAATGTGAGAATTGCGGGCGATTTTTCTGTCACTATTAATAAAGATATGTATATTGATAAATACCCACTACCTCGAATTAAGGAAGTATTTAGTAGACTGGGAGGTGGTGAATCATATAGTAAGCTAGATCTCAGTAATGCATATAATCAGTTTATTTTATCGGAGGCGTCACAGGAGCTTACAACCATAAATACTAGTAAGGGATTATTCAAGTTTACTAGATTAGTGTACGGTTTGGCGAACGCACCAGCCATTTTTCAGCGTGCGATGGAATCACTTCTTACTGGAATAGAAGGAGTTTCGTGTTGGATAGATGACATTTGTGTAACGGCTCCTAATAAAAAAATACATTTAAAGAGGTTAAATGAAGTATTTAGTAGGTTAATGGATGCAGGTTTACGTTTACAGAAACAAAAATGCGAATTTTTCAAATCTCATGTTACTTATTTAGGTTATATAATAAGTAAGTCCGGTCTACAAACATGCCCAAAGAAAATAGAAGCCATTTCTAAAGCCCCGAAACCTACAAATGTCACAGAGGTGAAAAGATTTCTAGGTGTTATTAATTATTATCGAAATTTTGTACCCAACGTATCAACTATATTGGAACCGTTACATGAATTACTCAGGTCAGGTGCGCAGTGGCAATGGGAAGAAAGACAAGAAACTGCTTTTAAATTGATTAAACAAGAATTGGCATCTAATAGAATTTTAACACATTTTAATCCAGATGCTCAGCTGATTTTGACAGTAGACGCGAGTCCGCATGGTTTAGGCGCGGTGCTCAGTCAGTGCGATATAAGTAATGGTGAAGAGCGTCCGCTAGCTTTTGCCTCGAGATCTTTGTCATTAAGCGAAAAAAATTATAGTCAAATTCAGCGAGAAGCGACGGCTATTATATTCGGTGTAAAAAGGTTCCATCAATACTTATATGGTCGTCAAAAGCCATTTATTTTGCGTACAGATCACAGGCCATTATTAACTATATTTGGTAATAAAGTAGGTATTTCGGTAATGGCAGCTTCGCGTTTACAAAGATACGCAATAATATTATCTGCTTATAATTATATTATACAATATATTAATAGTGCCAAAAACGTAATGGCGGATTATTTTTCTCGAGCTCCATTAAATTCCAATGACATCGATGGAACTGATATCGAGTTAGTAGACGAACGAAATTTATTTTTGTTAAGACATGTAGATGAGACAAATTTGCCAGTTTTATATAAGGATATTAAAACTGCTATAAAGGAAGATAAAGTTATTGGCACTGTATTAAAATATTTAAAAATTGGTTGGCCTCGAAATATTAAATGTGCGTTAATTAGACCGTATTTCCATTGTAAAATTGATTTAGAAGAGATTGACGGATGTTTATTTAGAGGTCATAGAATTGTCATTCCAACAAAATATCGAAATCAAATGTTACATGAACTCCATCGAAGTCATTTAGGCATAGTAAAAACAAAAAGTAACGCTCGAGAGCGAATGTGGTGGCCGGGAATCGACCGTGATATCGAACTTTGGATCGGCTCGTGTGAGAAATGCGTGAGCACGCGCAGCGCCCCGCCACAAGCCTCCCCCGCCCCGTGGCCGCGTCCGGATGCCGTTTGGCAACGTATTCATATAGATTACTTAACGGTCGGGCAAAGAGTTTACTTAGTAGTAATAGACGCATTTAGTAAATGGTTAGAATGCATTTTCATGAACTGCGGCACCTCCACACGATGTTTGATTGTAAAACTTAAAGAATTGTTTTCGAGATTTGGTATACCTGTTACAATAGTGTCAGATAATGATGTTAAAATAAATTCATTTGAATTTCACAACTTTTGCAAAATGAATGGTATTCATTATATTACGTCACCTATTTATCACCCTGCTAGTAATGGACAAGCTGAGAACTCTGTAAAAACGTGCAAAAAAATGTTAAAATGTATATTAGCTGAAGGTACAGCGATAAATATTGTAGATGAAAAATTATATGATTTTTTGTTTCTCTATAGAAATTCAGCACATTGTTCAAATGGTATTGCACCAGCAAAACTTATGTTGGGTCGTAGTTTACGATCTAGATTAGATTTGGTGTTACCGAGTAAAGTTTCAGACAAATTAAATAATGTCAATTCAAAGGATATGAATACAGAAGTAATTAGACATTTTTGTACCGGTGATTATGTTTGGTTAAGATGGTATACAAATAGAAAACAGGGTTGGCAATTAGGTATTGTTAAACAAAAATTAGGAAAGAGAATGTATAAGGTTTATGTAATTGAAAATGAGGTAATATGTAGACGACACATTGACCAATTGATAAAATATACTGGTGAAACAAATTGTGTTTACATGGGAGGATCCGGCGACGCTCACGCGGCTGAACTATCACCCCAGACGTCGCCGCAGCCGCCTGCTGCCCTAGAGGGGATTTCATCACCTTCCCTATCATTGCCACCACCTGCAGATAGCTCTTCTTTACAAAGTTATACTTTGTCAAGTGACAACCATTCTGGTGTTTGCGTAGTTGATCGCCCTGATACTGAGAGTAGTACAATACGGAAAGAGGAGGATGACTCGCGGGTGGTGAGAATGGAAGAGGAAGTTTCTAATACTAATGTTGTAACAAATGACATGAATAGGCCATATACTCGTGTACGTAGACCAAGAAAGCCTGTTAATTATAAACAATTTTTTTAGTATTAACATTTATAATTGTTGTTGGACAGGTTTCCAAATTAAAGGGGAAGGATTTGTGATGTATGTGGGTACACATTATTCAAGTACCCACATGATTCTACATTATGAGATTTTGTGCAGCCAATAGCAGTAATAAACCAGTTTCGATCTAGTACTGTCGTATTTTATTTATTAGCAAACACATCAAATACACATTTATTATTTACATAAGTTTGTTATTGATGCAATGGTTAATAGTCCAGAATATTAAAACATTGATTCTGGGAATTATAAATTCTTGCTGTTACTCGATAGATGTCCTATGTTTTCAGTATTTAAGTTTAAATAAACTAGATTGAATTTATATACTTACGGGAGCTACTCCTAAAGAGTCATAATGCGCTGCTATAACTATAGTCTGAGGTGATCCAGAGCGTCCTACTAGTTTTCCATGTATGGTGACTGGTTTTGAGTCTATTTTTTGAGGAGTAGGTGCGGATACCACTGTAGAAATAACACATTATTTAAGAAAAATCGGTAGGTTTGATAGTGAAATGGTTGGTCTGTTTGGTTTACAACTGCAGAGGTTAATAAGCTTTTGTAAAAAGAAAGAACATCCAAATAAGTTATCATTACAAATTCTAAAAATACATCATAATTGTAAGGGATCTATTATTCAAAATGTAAATTTATAGAATTTTCCTAATAGAAAAAAAAATCACTTAATGGATGAATGGACAAAAAAAAAAGGGATTTTCTTTTTCTTTCTAAGCAAGGGACACCTGGAAGCATAGATAGTCTTAACATTTTAAATTACGAGTTTTAAAATTCCTAGTTTACTTTATATACACCGCCATTTCTACATTTAAAGGAGCGATTGTTTAAGGATAACTTAATAAGGTTTGAATATTTATTCACAGCAAGTTTGATTTCAGCTACTGTCCTTACCAATTTGATAGCCGTTTGAAGAGACGCTATTCAACATTGCTTCTAATGCAGTGCCAGACTTGTCATCAGTGATAAAACTATGCTGCAAGTCCTGTAAAATGTCATCATACTCGGGTGTCCACTGAGTGAAGTACACAGGAGCACTTACTTCTTGTTGGATCATAGCCATCTCAAGTAATTGAATGTGCTGCAAAAAAATATATAACAAATTTAGAGTAAAAAAAATCAATAGACAGAGGAAAAGTTTTAATAAAATATTTAGAAGAATCCTATTAGGGTCGATGCCAGTGCTGGATTAAGCCAGAGCTGGGCATGTAGCAAATTTTTTGAGGGGACCTAGGTTTGCTTGTGACAAAATCCTTACAAACACACTTTTCTATATGTACAGACTAAATTTGACTTACAATGTGAGTATCAAAGCGCGCCCTCTTGTTTTTGAGGTTTAACAACAAAATAATGTTACGTTATGGTTATCGAATTAGCCACACAACTTTTTTTCTAATCACCTAATATATCTTTCGTGATGACGATGACGAATAATCGGAATCATCAACTTTGCAAATTAAACAAAAAGTCGACCTTTGTTTTCCGAATAACAGAGCTTTATTTTTCAGTTTATGTTTATACTCAAAAATGTGAGTTTAAACGTAGCTTAGTTTATTTCTTGCATTTTTTAACACTGAAGGAAAAATTAATTTATTAGTAAGACTAAAGCAAGGCTTCCGAACGTGCGTGGCGCCCAAACGCGCGGGGCCCGTATCATTTGCTACTTTTACTACAGAGCTAATCCGGCACTAATCGATACACACAGATCAAAACGTTCGACAATTCGGTTAATACAAAAACTACGACGGCAGACTGACATGAAACACATTCATTTATCCATAGGAATAGACGACGATCGACGGTCGATGTCGGAGTTCAGCTGCACAAAAATTGTACCACAGTGTACAAAGTATAGTTGATTACTTGCAAAATACAAGAAAACAATCGAGCTGTCCATCATGTGGTAACCAACAACAGTGTAAAATATTTCCATTCTGTTTGTGATAATTCCTCTACATGCAAAACTGGACGGCATTTTACGTATGCGTAACATACATACGCGTCCATACAAATGCGTATATAATCAAACGCATTTGTAATCAGGAAAGTGTGAGAGGCCTACCATCAGTTTGTATCAACCTTTATAAAGATAGCCTTATTATCTATTTACACAAGGCCAATAGCTAAGACAATTCAATATATTAAGTATTGTCCATTGTCTTCATGTAAATTGAGATAGTCCCAGTCCAATGAAAAAGATTTTTCACTGAATTGGCTCACTGGATTATCTCAGCTATTGGCCTTTTATGTTATGGACCATTTAAGTAGAACTTATATATCAAATCATATATTTCGTATGGGCCTGATTACATTACCCCATGTGTCATGAACATGTATGAAATTGCATGCAAATTAATATGCATTGCAGGGCAGGGTGAGCTGGATATCATTCTCTCTTAAATATAAATTAAATACTTATAGAAATAATTTAAGAATAAACTATCTATGTACCTGATAGGCAATTAATAAGTAAATGACATACATTGTGTAATATTTATCTGACAGTTGAATGCATACTATGAAGTTATTAATGTAAACAATACTATTTATACTAATGACACAAGGATATAACCTGAACAGGGTGTATGATATGGACTAAATTGTCTTATAGTAAGTCATAGTCACATTGCTCCTGAAAAATACTATCAAACCATGACATGATCTAAAAACACTAATACAGTGGGTAGAAAATCCTAACTCGGTGGTTCACTTCATTTTATTTTACCTGCAGATGAGAAATATTATTACCTTTATTAGAGACTATGTAACTTGATTCACTGTACCAATAAATTATATAAATAAAGTTATTATTATTACATGTTATTAGATATTTTATATTTTTAAGACAGTTTTCATTTAAAAGTCATACTTTATAAGGGTCACAATGTTTGATATGAGAAATTAGAACACTTTTTATAATAAATATACCCTAGTCTAACTTAGATAAAGCTCAAAATAGTCATTATTATTTATAATATTATGCCAGAATAAACTTTTCATAGTATACTTAGCAAAATCAAATCAAAAATTTCTTCCAGAATGGCCAGTAAGAATTAGTATGACAAGAAATCTGATATGTATAATGAGTTGTAACAAACCTCTTTTTCCTCAGGAGAGAGCACAGTATCATTTTTGGGTAACACAAGCAAGAGGGCACCTGCTTTGCTTCGAATCTCCATGAACTGATCAATAGTGATGTCTTGAACACGTGCTACAACACAGTGGCGTGATGTGCTCCATGAAGTTAAAGAACGGCCTTCTAAATTGAAACTAGAGCTACGACAACCTGGAAAAACATTTCTCTAGGTTATCAAATAAAATATATAATTTTTAGTATGTTTAAATAACTTTATTCACAAAATAATGTCAATAAAAAACATATTAGTCAACTTCACATATATTGCTAAGTTTTCAAGATGAGTGGCTTAGGCCCCTTTTTATGGAATAATTGAGACAATAAAGCTACCATTGATATTCAGTTTAAACAAAAAACTTGAGCAAAAGGATAAATAATAATGTATTTAAGTAAATAAAAAGTTTTATTATATAATCCCCTAAAATATTATCATGGAAAGAATTACAATACAGAAAAACCAAACCATAGTCAATAAAATACATTTGTTGCTTGTTATTCCACACAAGGTTAACTCATCCATAAATATGTGCAAATAAAAAACTATTCAAATATTCATAAGATTTGTTACTTCTCATTTATTAAAAAATTCTATTAAGTATTAAACATTATAGATGAATAGATAGATATATAGTAAAGTATTTTTCACAGATATAATTAGAAATTAATTCCTCAAACTTGATGAAGAGACAAGTAGGATACCACCTTATAGCCTCTAAAACCTTAACCTCAAAATTCTCATTGATTTTTGTTTCTTCAATGAAATTTCGTCTTACTATATTAGTCGCTTACCATGAGGTACTGTATGAAGATCATATTGTTGCATTCTGTAGACTGAAAACTCATGAGAAGCAGCCACTGGATTTACAGGGGACATAATGATAAAAATAGGCAGTGCAACTAGAAGATAGTAGGGCAAATAACCCTTAAATATTTCGGCGAAACCGTCAGCCTCGTCCAGCCACATTTTAGAGACTAGTTATTACTCAAGGTAATAAAATAAACCAAAAATCAATCTCAATACTGTAATCCAATTACATTACAAATTAATTACGTGTAGTAGTTTGCTTGCCTACAGTACGGCTTAACCTGACAGTGAAATTGACATTGACATGTTTAGGGATGAACGATATCTATCGATAAATTGACGCCCAAAATTATCGATATATGTCGATATCGAAGAAAAGTCAGAAAGGAAATTTTAATGAATACTATCATAGAAATTCAGATATTATCTTAAAGTAGCTAGTGATATCTAGTTTGCTTTCAAGAGCTACTTTTTATATTTTAAGTGCTTCTTCATTGACCATGGACTTACTACTTTTAACAGGACTTATAACTCCGAAAAATTGTAATTACAAACATGAATACATTACAAAAATATGACATGAATATTACTATCAATTAAAGTATGAGAAGATTTGTCTTAGAGAGAGAGAGAATGATGATGTTGCATTATTTTTTATCTTGTTCCAGCCTTTTCAGTAACTTGTTTTTTATGCAGGCGAGTTTTTTGTTTTATTTTAATTATTATTTTTTTAAGATACGATATCCAGATGTAAAAGTATACAGTTAATGCTTATTTTAACAAAGAAGTGAATAGTTGCGTTTTGACTTGACAGAGTGGTCGTGGTCGTCAAGTCGACATTAGTGGCCTGCTTCACAATGCGACGCCACTCCTCCCGAACTCTCGCTCTTCTCGTGCATTCATACAGCGGTTTGTTTAATGTTTTCTTTATTTGATCGGTCCACCTCATGGGCGATCTGCCGCGTGGTTTAGTACCCTCAATCTTTCCTTGCACTACCAGGCCCTCCATGGATTCGCCCCCGCGTCGTGTTATGTGGCCAAAGAAAGTGAGAACACGAGCCCGCACTATGCTCGACAATCTTTGTTTGATGCCTAGCTCAAGAAGAATGGATTCATTGGTTCGGAATTCCGTCCATGATATACCGAGCATTTTTCTCCGGCACCACATCTCAAGAGCGATCCGCTTTTTCTCACCTTCCCGGACAGTCCATGTTTCAGCAGCATAGAGGAAAATGGGGAATACGAGAGCCTTGATAAGTCATGTTTTTGTGGCTTTGGTAATATTTCGATCCCTCCACATTTTCTTCAGCTTGTCCATAGCTGACCTAGAAATTGCCATTCGCCGCTTGATCTCGTCTATGCAGCCGCCATTATTTGATATTAGTGCCCCTAGGTATATATATGACTGAACTACCTCACAATTCGCTATTTGTGTAACCTCTGTCGAAACGTTTGCACGGTCAATAATCATCATTTTGGTATTACTGCGATTTATTTTGAGACCAAAGTCAAGAGTGGCCTGTTCCATTCTGCGCAGAAGTTCTTCCATGTGTTGAGCACTACTTGCGAAAAGCGTGGTATCGTCCACGTAGCGCAGATTTGTAATTTTTTGTCCTCCAACGGTGACACCATCATTCCAACCTTCAAGAGCGATTCTCATTATAAGTTCTGTGTAGTTGTTAAACAATAATGGGGAGATGATGCATCCTTGTCGGACCCCTGCATTAGAATGGAAGTTGTCAGAGAGAACCTCGTTCGTCCTCACCGAGGCCGTCCCATTTTCGTAAAGGTACCTGAGTAGCGACACCAGTTGTGTATTATGAGTGTGTATATCCGTGTGTGTCTGTTTGTGTATTGTCGCACGTATGCATGCGTTGCTGTGTGTATACCTATATCTTACTATGACTTTTAAAATTATATATACGCAATTATACATATAATAGTTCCCTTGTATCATTTCTGTGGGTATATCACTCAAAATCCAATGTTGAGGTCATGTGCTAGAACATCTCCGATCTGGATTGTTCTGGGCATTCCTTGCCAGATACCGTGGTGACACAAAGGGTTTTAAGAGACAGTCCCACTGCGCTGGACCGCTGTCCCTGGTAGTTAGAGAATCTGGTCTATGAATATTATGAGTATTTAAAAAAAGGTGCTGTAACACTTTTTTTGACGTAGGAGAATTTTTTATGTGTGAGACTCTCCATCCAGAAGCACAAAGGTAAGCTAGTCAAAACGCGGATGGCATACCCACTAAACGCCAAAGGGCCAAAGGCGTACAAAGGTACACCCTCTCTTTTTTGGGGAAAGACGTGAGATCGAGCAGGGAGTGCTTCAAGTGTCAGTGTCGGCATTTACGTTATAATGACGAATTTTTGCTACTAGTGTAACAATCGATCTTTGTTCGATTGGGGGTGTAGACAACTTCTTTTCTATATTTTTATTTTAAAGATATACATGAAATATATATAAAAAATTTAAAAAAATATCATTCATCTAGAAAGTTAAAATCTAAAAAAAAAATTCAAAATTTCCTGCGAAAACGACATTTCTGTCATGGCGTCGCTATGACGTCACGGCACTCTGATACGTATATCATTTTATGCTCTATGTATGCATAAGGTTGAATTCTTTAAGTTCTGGAGGCCTACTCGCTTTCTCGAAAACGAAATTTCGTTTACGAACGAAATTAAAACGAAATTTCGCATGGAACGCTACTCTTTATCATTTTCGTATACACCAACGAATGTTCGTTTCCAAAGACAATTTTCGTGATCGATTGGAGTGAATGGCGTTATTGGATTTCTTATAATGTCAAATTCCGGTTTTTTCCGTAACTTGAAATATATAATATTAAACAATACATATATTTCTTTTAAATAAAATTTTAGTGGCTAAACATTGTTTAAACATAAAATATAATAATAATATAACGAAAAACTTAGTATATTAATGAATTTAATTTTTCGTTACAACTTATCAAGACACTATAAAGAACTCTTTTATCCACAGTATTAACCGACATATTTAAAAACAACCTTTCATTTATACGATGGCTATAATCAACGTATGGCAATCTTAAATATCCGTATAATACAAACGATTCTCATCCCGCCAAAAGTTTTACAAGTTTTCACCAAACTGTTCAGTGTTTACTAATATTTTATTTAATTATTGTGAGTTCCGAAATTTATCTTGAAAATTAAGTAAAAAACTTTATAAGTAAGTATGAAAGTAATATTTAGTTTTTCGGCACAAAAAAAGGTTTTTAGTAATAAAGGGTTTAGCCGGATACGTATGACGAGTCGGCCCCCAAATGGGAATCGATATTGAAACTTATGTTTTAATATAGACTTGATGTTCAAACACGATTTATGTACTTTTCGCGACCGACTTCCGCTTTGACCTTGAGATAGAGAGCAAAATATCCGTATGCTTGACTATTACTGAATGTGATATATCTCTGAAGCTAATTAAGATAAAGAAGTGAAACTAACGCGAGGTGTTAGGTTACATTACAGAGTATATCACATATATTTTTTTATAATTTTTAGAATAAAAAATTACATTAAAAAAATAAAAATAAAACAAAACACGTTTTTTTTTCTGAGTTCTCTGTGACTTACAATCACGAAATTAATATATGTTATGCTCCTTTGTGTGATCTATCACCCATAAAAATTGCGTGAAAAAAAAGTTGGTGCAACACAACGAAAAAAAATTATATGTGATTCGCGCCTTGTAGTGTGAGTGTATAAACAAACAAGTTCGAACTTGTTATCGAGCTGTTTACTGCATCGTTTGTTTAGCTAAAGTAGCAGTCATTTGTATTAAACAAGAAGGCAGTTCGGGACTCAAATTCTGTCATAGGTATTTTGTATCAGCATTTTGAAATTATTAACTATCGAACCAAATCATTATTAAGTAATAATGTCGAGAAAGTGTAAAAATTGTAACAAGTACCTGTGTAAGATTCCTGGTTATAAAAAAATTATAAAGAATGAAGAAGAAGCTAAAGTGTTTAGTGACTGTTTGAATAAAATCGTAATAGTTAATGATATTTTTTGTAAGAAGTGTCGACTTATCCCATATATTAACAAAAAAGCTTCTACTTCTAAATGTGCAGCATTTAACTTGGCCGAAATAATGGACGATCAAAATAATCTCTCAGTACAATATGTGAAATCAGCACCTAATATCATCAAATCATCAAAGCAGAGGTAAAATCAAGACATATAAATAGAAAAGTCTATCGAATTTACATTCACTATATTTCCGAAGGTAATGACTACAATAGTATTCTTCGTTATTGCTGTGATTGCCCCAATGGCAAACGTACAGTGGGATGCTGTTCTCATGTAGCAGCTATTATTTATTATCTATCATATGGATGATATTTGTCCAAAATCGTACGTCCTGCTGAGATCCTAACTAAGTTATTTGCGACTTAAAGTGTTCCGATTGTAATTAATTACAACAGTGACGATGATTAATATTTTGTTTCTTGTATTTTGATAGACACGAAAAAGTAATAATAATAAGCATTGAACACTGGCTGTTTTTTTTTTCATTTCTTTTTTAACTATTATCCCATCTCTTAAGACTAGTTACTTATGTTTTAAAACAAGCTGATGTGAAATTTCGAAAAAAAAAAACAATGATGTAATGTGAAAACCTTATAATACAGGGGTATACCATAAGACAGAAATCACATATAATTTTTTTTCGTTGTGTTGCACCAACTTTTTTTTCACGCAATTTTTATGGGTAATAGAGCACACAAAGGAGCATAACATATATTAATTTCGTGATTGTAAGTCACAGAGAACTCAGAAAAAAAAACATGATTTTTTTATTTTTTATTTTTTTAATGTAATTTTTTATTCTAAAAATTATAAAAAAATATATGTGATATACTCTGTAATGTAACCTAACACCTCGCGTTAGTTTCACTTCTTTATCTTAATTAGCTTTAGAGATATATCACATTCAGTAATAGTCAAGCATACGGATATTTTGCTCTCTATCTCAAGGTCAAAGCGGAAGTCGGTCGCGAAAAGTACATAAATCGTGTTTGAACATCAAGTCGATATTAAAACATAAGTTTCAATATCGATTCCCATTTGGGGGCCGACTCGTCATACGTATCCGGCTAAACC